GTGGTTTCGAATCCCCGGTTGTACGTGACAAGGAGTAGGGTCGCCTGTCCAACCTCGTGGGTTTTCTCCGGGTCCTCCGGTTTCCTCCCACCGCTAAAGACCCCTACGCGCAAGTCCCGAAATGACCTAAGGTGTCCTTGCACTCACCTTATGGGCTATAGCAACACGGTTTAAAAAACCTTGAATACGCGCCATCCATTGCGTTTGTTAGAAAGTCTAAATCTGCTCAGGCATCACGAAATCAAGAGACATGCCCCTTTCTTTTCAACAAAATGTGATCTTTGTCACATGAGGAGAGAGAGAGAGAGAGGAATGGGGTTTAACGTCCACTCGACACAAACTAGGTCATTTCGGGACTAACATATGGTTCAATTTTATTTACATAAATCGCTTGCGCGTAGGGGTCTTTAGCAGTGGGAGGAAACCGGAGTACCCGGAGAAAACCCACGAGGTTGGACAGGCGACACTATTCCTTGCCACGTACAACCGGGGATTCGAAACCACGCCAGTCGACTCAATGACAGACTTTATGATACAGCGCGCGCACGCTAACCATTCAGCCATCCAACCCCCCGTCACATGAGGATGATTCCTACCAAATTAATGGAGAGAGAGAGAGATGGGGTTTAACGTCCACTCGACACAAACTAGGTCATTTCGGGACTAACATATGGTTAAATTTTATATCAATAAATCGCTTGCGCGTAGGGGTCTTTAGCAGTGGGAGGAAGCCGGAGGATCCGGAGGAAACCCACGAGGTTGGACAGGCGACCCTACTCCTTGTCACGTACAACCGGGGATTCGAAACCAGGACAGTTGACTCAATGACAGGCCTTATGATACAGCACGCACGTGCTAACCACTCGGCCATCCACCCCCCCCCCCCCCAAAAAAAAAAATAAAAAAATTAATGGACATTGGAACATACAGTAATCATAGTTAATACAAAATGAAGAGCCCCGGCGAAGAACGATCTAAGTCACTTTTTCAATGAACCCCAAATTGTATAAGTTTTCTGTGGAACAATCTATTTCAGGTAAAAACGATCGGAGTCACATCGAACCAAGGACCTTCTGAAATGTCCTTCATGACAAACACAAGTTCATCGTACCCTTTACTTAACCCTAATTGGCCTGAAAAGTTGAAGTCACTTGTAATGCTAATTATGATACGTATTAAGCATCATTTCGAAGTTGAAATTAAACCCACTCGTTGTTCTGTTCGCGTCAAGCATTCTCGTCCAAAGGTCTGTTTTGCCTTTTATGCGAAAAGACAAAAATGGGATTTAGATCGTTGTCCCCCTGGACTCTTCACTTATTATTAGTATATGAAACTAGGGGTTTACCTATATTTAATCATTTGCTTACAAAGACGAGAGCACCAGCGTCGAAACGCTGCAAGTTAATGATACATTATGTAAGATACATTATGTAAGATTAAGATAAAGAACTGGTCGTTCTTGCTATAATAGTTCAAAAATAGATAACGAAAAATGAATATATTGAAAAGTTAATTCAAATTACTTTATTCTGAGCAAAGTTATCGCTGTTTGAAGTTTTGACAAGATGTATATTAATACAATATACAATGAGTACTAAATGAATGTAAAATATATCTATATTATACTCTCCCAAAAAAGTAGGGGATATTCAGAAACAATAAAAAACTGCGGAAATGCACTGCTGTTTTTATTAGAGGTAACCAGTGTATGTTAATAACAGATCAATTGCCTAGACACGAACATAAACAGTTCATAAGGGCGGCTTATTTGACGCCCCCATTTTACTCGCAAAGAGATACACTGTCAAATGTGAAAATGCTCCACCAACCCTCAGACATTCAGCAATTCGTCGTGGCATGCTCTTAATCAACCGTCCAAACACGATTTGGGGCAATCTGACCCGCTCCTCTTGCAGTGCCACGGCCAATTCTTGCAGTGTAGTCGGTTGACGTTGACGTCGACGAACATGTCTCCCAATCAAATTAAACGTAACATACTAAAGCAAAGATACGCTAAACAGTAAATCTTATGCGTGTCGCATGTGCAGCTCAGTGGTTCTGTTGGGGTGATAAGTTCTTCATCTGTGAACATACTCTCAAAGGATGTCAAGTGTCCATGACTATTTATCATATCCAGCCTGCATAGGTATTTGCATTTCAATAGCCCCTACTTTTTTGAAGAGTATATAATATAATTTCATCAAGGTCTTTAGTAATGGATGACATTGTAGAACATACTGTAGAGGCTACACGTCTTTGGTGGATTAATGTCAAAGGGGCTGAACCCTATAAATAGTCAGCGTCCCACAATCCTCCCTTCGAAAAACCCTATGTACGCAATAGATGTTACAGTTTCCAAAACCGAACCTTGTCGCTTACAAAGGATTTAAATGTTAGAACAGACGAAACAGAGGGATTGTTGTAAAAAATAAGAGCATCTTCACCCACAGCCACTCCTCTTCTCACAGACATTGACTGTTTTGACCAATCAATCCAAAATGGCTTAAACCCTTCTTCATGTTTGTTCTCCTAGGAATAGAATTTCAGGAATCGAAAATGGAAAAACTCATAATCAGACATCTCTAATTTGAACATAAAGTTAGACAAGAACGTGTTTGTAATTGCAGCATGCACCTGGCTCCTCGATTTAACAAACTGTCTATTTTCGAAATTCATTTTGGTTTTTAGCACAAGATGATGACAACATCCAATATCCAACAATATCTCTGAATGTTGATAAAGCCAAATACTTCACTGGATTTTGTGAGGGATTTTTGTAATTAATAAAAGCATCTTCACCCACAGCCACTCCTCTTCCTACAGACATTGACTGTTTTGACCAATCCATCCAAAATGGCTTAAACATTTCACATTCTACAAAAGTATCATATTTCCACCGAAGGCAAAGTGCTCTGGTGGTGTTCCTCAAACAAGAATAGCTATTTATGCCACCCATTAATATCACTTCGTAGACAAGGCTTTTTATACTGGTGTTCCCAAACAATCCTATTCTAGCATCCGTACATGCTTTAACGAAGAATGTCCAATTAGTTTTTTTGTGGACTTCTGTAAAATGTATATAAGAAGAGTGACTCGGAACTTTTAATATCACCGAAAAAACAGACATCGCCTGTAAGGATAATAAAATCCACTTCATGGTTTGTTGCTTTGATCATCGATCGTGAATCAGTAAAATGAAATTCACGATATTCGAAAGTTAACTTTTGCTGCAGTGGATCAATACGTTTGCCTTCACGGCCATTATTCAGAAACATTTCGATCAAGGGATATTCAGGGGGGTTGGATGGCTGAATGGTTAGCGTGTGCGCGCTGTATAATAAAGTCTGTCATTGAGTCAACTTGCGTGGTTTCGAATCCCCGGTTGTACATGACAAGGAGTAGGGTCGCTAGTGTGGAGGTCGGGTGTTCGATCCCTGCATTGGCCGAGAAAGTTCATCCAGATTTTCCGGCGTGGTTCCCCCTTCTCAGTGATGCAGGACGGAGGGACTGACAAGGATGTCCTGTGTACACATTGGCGTGCACGTAAAAGATCCCTTGGCAGTTGGAATTCGATATAAGATTAGTCCAGAGTGTGGCTGCGTTCTACTTGATGTGAGAAATTAGTCGTTCAGATAGGACGAAAAAACCGAGGTCCAGTATACAAATTGGCGTCGCAGATAAAAGATCCCATGACAGTTGGAATTCGATATAAGATTAGTCCAGAGTGTGGCTGCCCTGGCAAAAAATCCCTCATAGCACACTGTGTATGGCGTATGGTGTCTTCATTAGTCCAGTCGGAGCAGAACAGTAGTACGGTAAACCCCATTTCATTTCGTTTCTTTGGGTAGGCTCCTAAATGGCGCTTGTTTACAGTAGTGACGTCATGGGCATCATTCAAGAGGATTGCTAGTACCGGGGCTTAATTTGCATATTCAGAAATATGTATGATTAAAATCTGACAACAAATTAATCTGGATTGCAAACAAGGGCGTCGGAACATCCAAGGGGTGGGGAGGGAGTAAGGTGGGTCCGGTGCGTTCTCTTCCCAAGGGGTTGGGGGGATCAACAGGGGCGCAGGAACGGCGCGAGGACCAGGGTACCAAAAGTGGTACCAGGGTGGTCCGGGGGGGGGGGGGGGATCTCCCTCGGCCTCTAGAAAATGTTTAAATTTGTCAATTCCGAGAACGCTGTTTAGAGAGCCTCTAGCATTCCGGGGGGGGGGGGGGGGTGGATGGCTGAATGGTTAGCGTGCGCGCGCTGTATCCCAAAGTCTGTCATTGAGTCGACTGGCGTGGTTTCGAATCCCCGGTTGTACGTGGCAAGGAGTAGGGTCGCCTGTCCAACCTCGTGGGTTTTCTCCGGGTCCTCCGGTTTCCTCCCACTGCTAAAGACCCCTACGCGCAAGCGAATTATGTAAATAAAATTGAACCATATGTTAGTCCTGAAATGACCTAGTTTGTGTCGAGTGGACGTTAAACCCCATCTCTCTCTCTCTCTCTCTCTCTCTCTCTAGCATTCCAAATTCTAACATAAAACCCTTTAAAATACATGATAATGAAAAGAGACGAAAGCCCGATTATTCACAAATGAATAAACTAGTAAAAAGGTTAACAACTTTCATCATTAGGGCATGGGTATACCCCAGAAAAGGACAGGGTACCATTTGTATACCCTGGTACCCGGGTTTCGGCGCCCCTGGGGGTCGGGGGATCCTCCCCAGAGAACATTTTTGAAAATCGTGTGCCGAAACCATGAAATCTGAAGTCTTCTGTCAGACTACCAGTTACAACCTATCAGATCAAAATACAACTCAGATCACTAGAATCAATAACCGATTCGATTCACTTCCACGTACTATATCAAACATAAATCCCGAATCCTGCTTTATACAATTTTATCTGATCAATTCAAAATTATAAAATTTTATAATGGCATGGAGGGTTGGATGGCCGAATGGTTAGATTTAGATAAAGACCTGAAACGTTCTTGCTATAGTTAAAAAATAGATATTGATAAATGATTATATTGAAAATTTCATACAAATTCATTATTCTGAGCGAAACGAAATATAGATCTGTATTTTAATTGGAGTGTGCCGATTTTATATATTGAACAATTACAATGTTCGTAAATTAGCATTTTTCTTTTTTCTCTTCATTATCACCCGAACAACATTTATCCCAGTCCGGCCAGAACATCTCCATCATGCGATCACAATACTCGCGTAGATTGGTATATTTTTCTGTAAAAGAAAGAGATAAATGGGGTTTAACGTCCACTCGACACAAACTAGGTCATTTTGGGGTCTTTTGAAGTGGGAGGAAACTGTAGGACCCGTAGAAAACCCACGAAGCTGGACAGACCCTATGATCTAACGCGCATGCGTTAAGCCAATGAAACATTTCGCGATATTGTGTGAGATGTGTGAGTGCGCTTTAGATTATTGAAACAAGTGCGCAAGGCCGGATTAAGAAGAAGAGAGACCCTACACTATTCCACTTTGGGGTCCCCTCCAACGCATCATTTAAGCACAATTAAGCAAAGTCGAGGATGATGGCAGATGTTTAAGACTACAGTGCGTGTCAAAAATGGCTTGCGAGCATGATATTGTCAAAAATTATATACACCTTTTCCAGAGGCCCCAAGGTTCTTCAAACCATAGGCTTCAGCCTGCCAGGGTAAATCCGGAGTGGTTTCGATCCTAAGCAGAACTATTTGCTGTACTTTTGTAAAAGAGCATTATCTCCCATTTTTCATGTCAGATTTTCATCTTGCCCAGTCATGTACAAGGGTTGTAAAAATGGCAAAGAGACAGAGATAGAAAAATGGGGTTTCACGTCCACTCAACACAAACTATGTCATTTCGAAAGGCAGAGTGGTCTGTGTGACAAAACTGGGCTACTATAGCGTTGCCCTCGTGCTTATTTCCGTAGTCCATAAAAATACACAAGCATCCATCTTGAAGTTCACCCAATCCCACAATCATCCAGTCTAAGACGGCGGAGATATCTGAACCAAACAACAGAATACAATACAGAACAGCTGTATTCATCCGCAAAAAAATAGTACCTAAAATTCATGTACACTTATAGGTTTAAACGTCAAATGAGGTCAAATGAATAGAGACGTCTTTAATATATACTAAATATTCGTATCATCCCAAATCGACAATAAAACAGTGAGAAAAAGGAAAATCTAAGTAATGGCAATCTAATTAACATAAAATTTACGACATAATCGATTCTTCAATGTTTTGATGGTGATCATGAAGAAAATACATCAAAAAAAAGATCACTAGAATTATAGATTGTTATTCCACACAGTCGAAAGGTATGTTAGATTTTTCATTCAGTCAAGTTAGAGCGAGTTTATTGCCGTCGTTTGAGCTCCAAACCCGATAGAAATGAAGGCGGAAGTGGCCGTAATAGTTTAAGAGATCACTACGCGATGGCGCTCCTGCGTCGCGACAAACGGGGCCGATTTGTCTAGGTATGAAGCCTCTTATTACCAAGGTAAACAACTCAATATAACATAATGGTTTTAAGTAGGATTCGGACCACATTTATCTAATTAATAATAAGCTACATTGTAAAAACAGAATAGCCAGCAAGTATTAGGGGCCACGTATGACAATAGTGAGCCAAAACAAACCAACCCAAACTTATTTTAAACCGATATAAGTTAGACACTCACCGTTTACAAAATATTCACCCTTGGTACCAGGTAATTGCCATCTAAACTGACTTAACTGTCCAAATAAAGCACAATCCGTCTCGCATGGTTTATCACCAAAGAAAAACTTCTTGGTATCTGAAACAAGAAAAGGAAATGAAATGAAATCCAGCTACCTAGAAATGAAATGAAATGGGATATAACGTCCTACTGTTCTGCTCCACGGGCATACGCCATGCAGTGTACTATGAGGTAAATTTTACCCGAACAGCAGCGCTACGGCCTACTCCTTTTTTTGAATTCCAACTGTACGTTGTCCCTTACGAGGCCATCTTTCCTACGCATATGAAACAAGGGTGTTCATTCACCGCAAACACGGCACGTAGAACACTAGCTGAACTTCCTAGTAAGTTTCAGGGATCGGATTCAAAACACATCGAGCATTGCAACGAGTTACACTCTTCACCACACGACCATGATTATTTGTATTGACTTGAATATATAGAGGAATGTCAATAGACTCAAAACGGTGCAAATGAGAGAGAGAGAGAGAGAGAGAGAGAGAGAGAGAGAAATGGGGTTTAACGTCCACTCGACACAAATTAGGTCATTTCGGGACCAACATATGGTTTAATTTTATTTCAACAATTCGCTTGCGCGTAGGGGGTTTAGCAGTGGGAGGAAACCGGAGGACCCGGAGAAAACCCACGAGGTTGGACAGGCGATCCTACTCCTTGTCACGTACAACCGCGGATTCGAAACCACGCCAGTTGACTCAATGACCGGTTTTATGAACGGTGCAAATGTATAAAAGAAGAATGAATAAAATGGGGTGTCAAGTCCTACGTTTCTGCACCTACCGGGATAATGAAGGCGGGGAAATGTATAAAGTCAACTACCTAAAAATTCAGACATCGCTTTCAAATCGCCCTCTTCTATATGTACCATTTCTTCGAAACTATGGCGACCGATGCCTTGCTGTTCTGCTCGACTTTTTATATGTCTGGAGAACAACCAGGCCAGAAATCTATTGACACCAAGAGCCTTGCACACCCAGTCTTGTTTGTCATATACACATCTATGTAAAACCATACACCTGGAAAAGCAAACAAACATAGTTTAAAGTCTAAGCCTTTTTCATACTAAACGTATTCTGTCTGTCTACAATTAGCTCCGCTTGAGAACAGACACTAAGCTAGTTGACCGACATCTTAACTCCTAAATCGACGATTTTAGTCTAAAACTCTAAGTATATTTCGAGAATTTTGAGGAGCACAAATAAAAAACAGACATGAAAGTTTTATTTACCAGTAAAGATTTTCCTCTGCCATTTTCTGAAAGGCTCTGGCTACAGCTTTGTCAGAGCTGCTCAAATGACTGTTAAAATCTTGCTTGTATTTTTCGTTAAGGAATTCAATGATGAAACTCGAATCATTTACTTCCTGACCGTTAAATTCTATCCACGGCATTTTACCTTTCTTAGAAACCTTACAATCATTTACATTCTGAAAACAAATAACAAATGCTTCTTTAATAAAATACACGACTACTATTCTGTTAAAATGTAAATGTACCTCTCTTGAAACTTCGTTCTAAATGTATGACAATTATTAAAGCACACGTCTTCTGCTTTATGTATTAAAAAGAAAGAAAACGACACCGCCTACTCTGCACCAAATTCCAACTACACAATTAAAATTGAATCATATGATCAATGTTCGAAATGGCCTACTCTCTCTCTCTCTCTCTCTCTCTCTCTCTCGTTTTTGTGTGTCTTCGGAACTGTAACACAACAATTTCGTGTCAGTGCAGCAGGTAAGTGTCAGTCACGTCCTTTTTGAAATTAATATATTAAGTATGTTTTTATTTTTTAAAATGTACTTACTGTATATTTGATGTTGGCCATGCGCAGGTATGTTTCTAGTTTCACACCAAATGGAGTAAAACTGGGACAAAATGGTCCACGTCCAAATTGATGAACAATAATAGTTGCTTTTCTGAAACGAAAAATAAATCTTTAAAAAGGAGAGAACACATTACCGTTAGAAACTTCAGCTCATACCCAATTGGCACCTGAATACCAATGTAAAAGTGAATTAACGACATGAAAAGTAACGTATTACCTTTATATTAATTAAAATTGTCCGTTTAGGGTTCCCTGAACTCTTTAAAAACAACGAGAAATTGGCAATAAAAACAGTATTTTCCAGGCGTTGGATAGACAAATTTGTTTCTGATTTTGCACATAATTAGAACATAATCAAGTCCCGGCAATCACCCGGTCCTCTTGCTATTTTGTCCAATTCGTCCGCAGATTTCTTTGGGGATAAACAATTAACAGTAATTGTACATTTCACAAATTAATTTCGAAAATGTATAAAATCAAAACATTGATAAAGCAACTTACCCGTCCATAGTGAAAAAAGTTCAATTCAGTTTTTTCCAATTCTTTAAACAATTCGAGCTTGTTGTAAGTAACTTCTTACACTTTTAAAGTTGAATGAACATCTTTATTTCAGCCTTCATATTTATAGTATATATTGATTTCCACGCGCGCATAGCAGACGACGACCTATTAAAAATTAAAATAGATTTTTTATTCATTCATGGTCTCGTGAGGTGTAGTCTCGATTATCAAAACGTGTTGTATTATAGACAATGCTACGCTCGAATGAATGTTTTTTAGATTTAATCTCGTTCTGATGAAAGACAATTATTTCGACATTTATTATTAGGGATTCCCTAAACGTCATAATAATAAAGATTTCGTAAACATCATAATCAGTAATTTTTGACAGTTAAGTTAAATATATCTTTATTTCACGTGGCATTTTGGGGTTTGATTCTACGGCTCTGACGTCGACAAACAGTCTAAATTCTTAATTTGTAATCTATAAAGCCCATATAGTCGTGTACACGACACTCCTGTCACTTGGTATATGATGAAATGGAATGACGTCCTTGTTTCGGTCAGCGATAATGTGATAATGTTTTTAGCCATGGCTTCGTACGAAGCTGCTGCGAATTGAAGGTGTGTGCTCGGGGGTGGGGGTGGAGGTGGGGGCCTCTGCCATCCAGTTGGTATATAGTATAGATTCCCCTTGCCACTCTCCATGGTTAGAACTATTTGATAAGGTCAACTTCAAGTTTGATCAACGGTCACGAGATGTAGACCGGGCTAGCGCTAATCCCAACTCTAACAATACACCCTAGACCTAGCACCAATGCTTACCCTAACACTAACCTGCAATCTCGCCAACAATCACTTGCCTTACCTTATTTACTTCTCAGCGACCTTGACGAAAATTCAGCTGGCCTTAACAAATAGATTTAGCCCACTCCCCACTAGGAACTTCCACAAGACTAGGCGAACTGTGGTACTCCTAAAGACGATATAAGGTTGGACCCTTGCTATACCTGCAATGGCCAGATCCCTTTAAATTTAGTTAAAAATAAAATGTTTATTCAATTACGTTTACGGTTTTACGTTCACTGATGTGGCCTGTTGAGAATTGAGCGGAGTTATGACTGTTTCATTATCAATTTTATCGCTAAATGTTTAAATCTCGCGGTTGCTCAAATCTATTTAAACCTCGGCCATCCGATGCTCTAGAGCAGGGGGGTCATGAACTAATAATTTTACACCAAGTGGGCTGGAGATAAACAAAAATTCAAAAAACAAAGCCTTGAACTTTACTGAATTCTAAAAACAAAGCCGAACATCCATGACATGGGTAATTTCTTAGACTGGTTTCCAAATTGCCAAGATATAATTACATACAACTTAGATATCCATGACATATAGAACAGAAATCAGAGTTTTACTGAAACCTGAAAACAATAATAAATGATTTTCCCTGCTAATTTCTAAGAATTATCGACACATCAGTTTGTTGAAATGGGACACATTTAAATCCTTGGCGGGCTGGTTAGAGAGCTGATTATTGACTTGCCACGTGACTAAATGTCTAAATAATAGTTTATACAAAAGAAAGACCTGCAATAGGCAGATTTAATTCTTACATTTTAATTAGTTTTAATTAGTTTTTTAATTTTATACACATTAAAGCCGCAATGAAACGGACTAACATTTGAATATGTAATTTAATTTTTTTTTCTGGCGTTTTTTTGTTTTTGTTTCTTCCTGCTAGTTTTTAAACAGAAGAGAATTAAGATGATTAAAACAAAACACAAGCCTAGATTTAGATACCATCTTGAGGTCGATGTTTATGAATAGATCTGAATTTTATTATCCTTCTGCGTTAATAAAAATGTCGATCTAAAATCAATACTAATATTATTGTCACGGTAACAGCATCTGAATCATTAATCGTAGTGTCAATTTCATTTCGTCTAGAGGAGCCAACGTCAGACTCTTCGTTATTTTTAGAACACTTCGGCGGCGGTAACGAAAAAAAAGCAGACAGTTTTCTCACTCCATAGAATCGTCGCTATTCAACTCGCTCTTTCGTTTTCGACCCATGGTGATAATATAATTTGAAATAATAATTTCCAATTAGCCATGCTGTTATATTTATACATGTCGTATAAAGCCACATACAGTAAACAAAATTCAACTATCAAAACATGTAACTCTCTTTGTCAAGAGTTGTCCGGTAACGATCGGCCATTTTGATTACTCCCCTTTGTTTTAATCGCGTAATATCAAATAGTCACCGCTAATCTATTTGTTAGGGTTAATTAATATGACGAATAAAGACAAGATAAAGGCTTTATTATCGGCAATTAACAATCAGTTGAAACCATTAATCCCAGGCAATTGTTTAGTATTTAAGAATTTTTTTTCGCCAATTCTAAAAAAGAATCGCCAGTACCCCAAACCTTTTTCGCCAAAATTATCGCCAAAAACAAAATTTAATCGCCACTTTCATAATTTTATCGCAAATTGCGAATTAGGCGACCGACAGTGTGAGCCCTGGTCTACGGTCTGAAACCAGGAATATGGATTGGATTGGAAGAAACACTAAGAACTCTTGATAGTAGGAATTCGATTACCTGTAACGGGATACATGGATATTCGGGCAAAATTCCACTCATAGTACACTACATTAGACCAGTTGGTGCAGAAAAGTAGGACGTTAAACCCCATTTCATATCATTTTTAGTGAGGAATATCGGGTCTTTTTAATGTGGATATTAACTTAATACCCACATTAAAGAGAGAGAGAAATGGGGTTTAACGTTCACTCGACACAAACTAGGTCCTGTCGGGAGTAACATATGGTTTAATTTAATGTCAATAATTAGCTTGCGCGTAGGGTGCCCGGTGAAAACGTACGTGGTTGGATAGGCGACCTACTCCTTGTCACGTACAACCGGAGAAACGAGACCACGCCAGTCGACTCAATGACACAACCCGCACTTATGATACAGCCCGCACTTGCTAACCATTCGGTCATTCCCCCGCCCCCTTTACATTAAAGCGTGTGTGTGTATTAACTGTCCATATGAATAGGCTATATAGTATACCAAACGTGACCACATAACCATATACATACACTATTGTATAAGTTTTGCGTGGAACAATCGATTTCAGGGAAAAACGATCGGAGTCATATCGAAAAAAAACCCTTCTGAAATGGCCTCCCGGACAAATACGTCCATCGTACCCTTTATTTGACCTTAATTTGGCTGAAAAGTGGAAGCCAGTTGTTGTACTGGTAATTATGATTCGTAATAAACATCATTTTGAAGTTGTAATTAAAACCACTCGTTGTTCTGTTCGCGTCAAGCATTCTCGTCCCAAAGTCCGTTTTGCTTTTTATGCGAAAAGACAAAAAAATGTGACTTAGATCGTTCTTCCCCTGGACTCTTCATATTTAATTGTTTTTACGACATGGTCGGTATTCGTGCCACAGAGACACGATACAATCACCGCTGCCTACTATAGGAAGCGTTAATGTTAGGATCACTAATTTTTGCATAGTACATGTACATGCGTGGGAAAGGGTAGACGTTGGAAAGGGTAGGCGTCGGAAAGGGTGGACGAGGGGGGGGGGGGGCGGCGAGGGCTTGCAAAATTTGTCTTGCTCCGACACGCTTAGTTATTTCTATAAAGCTGAACCGGGTATGTGTCACCGACACAAAAAGTCACACCATTTTCAAATACAAATGCTTTATTCAATATTTATACTATACAAATAAATGCTCGACAATATACTAAATTAAAAACTATCCGGACGATGCTTTTAATCCACAAACCAATCAGCTCAAACAATGGTTGATTTTAAAACGGCAACAAAAAATGTAAAGGCTGGTTCCTATGGAAGACCAGCGTGAATCCGCTAAAGATGGATTACAAGTTTCCCTAGGTTTGTGGAATGGAGATTTGTGGTGATCGATTCGGATCATAACATAAGTTATCGGTCACGCGACATTCGATTGAAACCAAATTTCATTCATTTGCTGGCAGAACAGTCTTTTATTTATTGTACATTAAGAAACTGAGAAGAGGTAAACAAATGCCCGGACGTTTATCTAAAGCCTAGCACACAACAGGCCATACGGGTACTACCGGCAGTCTACGGCGGAAATTTTAGTAAACAGGTACGTGAGTCTTACGCGTCACTTGCCCGTGATCGGCACCGTAGAATATAGCAGACTGGCCGCGGAGACTGTCGGTCTTGCATATACAAAATTTCTACCTGATTTCTTGCGGCTAGTCTGTGAGCTACCAAATCTTACGACCCATGCGTGCGTGTCAAAACACGTACGGCGGGCTGTGAGCTGAGCTTTAGCGAGCTGGGCCCGGTTTCTCGAATCTTAACTAAAGATAAAAGCCAAATTGTAGTAGATACTTCAATTTTGATTGGCTAAGCACTAAAATCAATCTAATATTATCCAATCAAATTACTAAAATTTGGATTTTATTTTAGTTATAATTTCGTGAAACAGCCCCCTGTAACCTAAACGAATTTTAACCTAAATGCCACATACCCAGTGTACCACCGAGTCCGTTCAACGCCGATCGTATACTAGAGTTAATACTCCTGGCCGCTGCATTCATTTGTCTGTTGAAATGTGACCCGGCATTATTCATATACCTGGCCATTCCATTTATGTAGTTATTAAACCCACGGGTCATCTGCGACAACCAGTCATTAGCAATAGGCGGGTTGGGATTGATTCGCTTAGCAACAAGGGGCCTGGGAGCAACTTTCGCAGCAACGCTGGGCCTGGGAGCAACTCTCGTAACAAAACTGGGCTTGGAAGCATCTATCATAGCAACGCTGGGCTTGGGAGCAACTCTCGTAGCAACACTGGGCCTGGGAGCAACTCCCGTACCAACACTGGGCCTGGGAGCAACTCTTGTAGCAAGCCTCGGCCTGGGAGCATATTGTCGATTATTAACAGAAGTAGGTTTAGGGACGGGTCGGAGGGCTCCGATCATCCCAGTCACCCTTGACGTGTTGCGTGGCTTATTGTGGAATCTGTTTCTCGGTCTAAAACCAATAAAACCAACGGAGGCACCTGGATTACCGAAGAATCCACTCAGACGTATGCCATTACCAATATTATGGACAATTGCCGTACTGGGAACTCGTGATTGCATCCTGATGGAACCATCGTGTCCTATGTGAATGCTTGATCCATGACCAAAAATGCCTAGTCCTGGTAGCGGCATCTGGCCGTTCATATTCATATTCGACATCGGATAATATCTTCTGTCAAGATGTGGTATCGGACCTCTGCTATTAGTTGTTGGACCTTGCACAGTATCAGTCATAGGACCCCTCGTTAATGATGCTTTGGGATCCGGTACAGATTGCTGGCCGTGGTCGATATTTTGTTTACTATTCGGATCAAGTCCCTTCACTTTCATCGACGATTTCACAGTCATAGTTGTATTGCTAGGTTCCGTTTTCTTGCTTATTTTTGGGATTTGGCTTTCAGGAGTGGTGGTGGTAGTCTGGACGTTAACTGGAATGCTGTGTTCAGGTGTAGTAATGTTAATGTCTTTAGAGTTGTCCGTAGCTTGTCCATTAGTCTGGGGCGGACTAGGACCTGGGTTTTGAAAGTTGATAGTTGATTTCAAATTGATGCTTGTGCCGGATCCTTGGGCTTCCGGTACAGTTTTGGGCTGGCCACCCATTAAAAACACATTACCACCGGCTGTCCTGATTGTGGACGGAGGTATATGACCATCCTCGACTTGTATGCTACCACCAATCACATTAGTGGTGACTATCTCATCTGGCCTGACCCCTGGATAGGTTCCAGTGATTGTGGACCGAGGTAAAGGGCCATCCTCGACTAGTATGCTACCACCAATCACATTAGTGGTGACTATCTCATCTGGCCTGACCCCTGGATAGGTTGTAGTGGTTGAGCCAATTGGTGTATTTACAGACACCTGGGAATCTGGACAGGTTTCACAACAAGCAGCAGTCCGAATCCTCGCAGAATAGTTGATGCATTCGGATTGGACGCAGTTGAATAATGGAAGATTTCCTTGCGGACAATTATCTGCAAAATTAAAATATTTTCATTTATCTTAAATCTAATAAACATTTCCGTAACTCAAAACAAAAATATAATGGGATTAAAATTGCATTAAACATACATTATGCAAGAGCTAAATCTGTCTTTCTTTAGGCCTGAAATGTTATCTAAATTATTAATTAGACATTAATTAACTTATCCAGAACATATTCAACTCTCGATTACATCGAATGGCTGCGATATTTAGCGGATTTGAAGACAGTTTTGAAAAATAATTCAACGTAAAATTGGATAATCGAGACTTTATTTTTTATCGTACCGACTTTAGTAATAATGATCGATTCTAGCCTGAAATTCTAAAGCTAGTATCTCGGTTCAGAGTGGAGTAATTTGAACCGTCCATTTTGCGGGCAATGTATTTCCGTTTTTCGGGTACAGACATCAGAGGATGGGGAACATTAAGTTATTTTTGCTTAATATAATATTGTAAATTTATATTATCGTGTAATTGTGTAATTACTTAAAAATAAACAACCATCACAGCTTTAGTTACTCGTTTAAGTTACCGAATGATTCATTCTAAAAATTCGGGTGACAAAGAAAATAGCCGCAGCGTAGCCTATGTATGGCGGTATATTATAAAAACATTAAAGTACATGTAGTTAGAAAAGAAACGAAATACATGACAATATGAATAATTAAACCGACCACGGTTCACTATAACAGAAGACGTACCTGGTCTACTTGGAGCTTCAGCATTAGAAACACACTGACCCTGCTCACACCACTAAAACACAAATAAAAGGGTTTCAGTGACGAGATGACGAGATAAAATCAAATATATCTTACCTTGGGAATTAGTTACTTAAAGGGGCTAAATCGCTAATATTTGAGACCTAGAAACGTATATAATAATGTAATCTGATTGTATATAAACTTATTTACATTCAATTGTTTTCGTTTTGACTCTAATTTCAAATCAGTTATCTCCAGCGAAATACGGCACGAGTCTCAACCGAATCGCTATTTCTATTGTCTGGTTATTCCAGTCTATTGCGCATGCTCTCATGGCGTCGCCGTTTGACATGAGTTGTGGAATATGTCTAGCCTCGTTCTTTCTGGTCGCTTGTTACAAGTGACGCTGAGACGCACTATGGTACACGATTCGTGTACCAATGGTAAAATGTTTATTTTATCTTAAATATTGGATATCAAAAGCCTACCTTTTCCCGGTAAGGTCACAACATCAATGTTGATTTGAATTGACAAATAAGTCGTGTTTTCGACGTGTAAGACTTTGTCTGATATTGAGTTAGAGACTTAAATTTAATGTTTTATTATCAGCATCGGAAACAGTGGCATCTGCTCTTTTTTTAATCCAATATATAATTGTGAGAATAAAACTAAGCCGTAATCAGAAGTCTTTCTTGGCAATCAATTTTAACCAGTAGTCGAAATTCAACGTCTTGTGTACGAATTTGAACGTCTTGTGTACGAATTGGAAAAAGAAAATCGAGCCAAAGCACGAATTGAAGGCAGAATAATTTGCGATAAAAGGGCCAAAAAGTACTCTTAAAGGAGATATAATATTTATTTCTAGAGTTTGGCAGGGAATAATTACTCATCGTAGCAATGTAATAATTTGATTGAGAAGAGGTGGGGCGGTGGTTACTATAGATACTGTTGACAATATCGTTAAAGGGACACAACTCCATATAAGCGACATTTGACATTGTATGAAATTATAATAAAATAGCCTAGAGGACAAGCATGACAGTCAATATCTTTAGTAAAACAAAATTTTATTTGTCTTTTACTCAAATGGGAAATCAAACAAGTCACATGGGCTAAGTCTGTTACTTGATTTATTTTCATTCATTTGTATTTAAATATTGTTTACACAGAAAAAGAAAAGATTATAACAGCACCCTGTAACCAATGTGATTATAACACAGATCCTATTTCGTTTCGTTTTTTTATAGTTCAAAATTTCGTTTTACTTGTCTTCACAACACTAGGACCTGGAAGAGTTATTACATAACATGCGTTCTACTTGATGTGAGAAATTAGTCGTTCGGATAGGACGAAAATACCGAGGTCCAGTATACAAATTGGCGTCGCAGATAAAAGATCCCATGACAGTTGGAATTCGATATAAGAGTAGGCCGTAGTGCTGCTGTCCGGGCAAAATTTCACTCAAAGCACACTGTATGGCGTATGCCCGTCTTCGTTTGCCCATATAAAAAAACGAAACGAAATATTTTAATCAGATTGTCCAGTAACGAGAGACTTTACCTGTCGTTAATTTAAAGTTCAGACCACTTACCTTTTGAAATCCACATGACGTACCATCTAATGGTATCCTGACTGTAAATGTAGTCCTCTTCGGTCCCTTACTAGCCTCACAGTACATTCCTCTACACATATCACCATGGCCTTCTAATGCATGTATTGACTGAAATAAATCCAAAAAATACACATTAAATAAAGATAGGTTGCCAGGCAACGAAACATACGCCCATAGTACAGCTCTCTACACATACCACCATGACCTTCTAATGCATGTATTGACTGAAATAAATACAAATAATACCCGATGTTTACTTTACCCGGTGTGAGTTATTTCCCTTACCCAAAACTTCCTTTGTAATTAACGATTTATGGGTTTGGTAGATAAAAATAGCACAATCATCAAGGGCGGATAAATTGAAAACGTGCCCCCCCCCCCACACCTTAGATTAACCCAGGGTTTGTAGAGTAGAACGGGATAAGACCACTGGGGATACCCAAAACTTCCTTTGTAATTAACGATTTATGGGTTTGGTAGATAAAAATAGCACAATCATCAAGGGCGGATAAATTGAAAACGTGCCCCCCCCCCCCCCCACCTTAGATTAACCCAGGGTTTGTAGATTAGAACGGGATAAGACCACTGGGGATACCAAGGATGTGCTACACCATGTACTAGTATTAGCCTCCAGTACAAAGCATCAAATTCTTACCCGTCCAAAGTCTGATTCTAGACCAACCCCCATCTTACATTGTTGGTCTGCTGTAAAGAATTGTCCAACATCTTCTACACTACCCGGCTCTACTGTATCTGGTGTAAAAGGGTTTTCTGACGTGCAGGTTACGCTGAAGTATATATAAAAAAACAATCAGTGTGTAAAATACACTGATGGTGATGATGAGAGAGAGAGAGAGAGAGAGAGACAGAGAGAGAGATGAGGTTTAACGTCCACACGACACAAACTAGGTCATTTCGGGACTAACATATAGATCAATTTCATTTCAATAATTCGCTTGCGCGTATGGGTCTTTGTCCTTGTCACGTACAACCGGGAAATCAAAACCACGGCATTTGACTCAATGACAGACCTTATGATCTAACGCACGCGCGTAAAACCATTCGACCACTAAACCCCTTAGAAGTCCAAGAGGAGAGTCAACTGTTACACTTGGTTTAGCAAGGAACACCATTCCACCCCCTGCCCCCCCCCCCCCCCCTAACATGTCGACATTAAATTTATCATTTTCTATCGGTGGTGTCGTTCAATCCACACTCCGTGGGTTTTTTGTTGGAGGTAAGTGTTGAAATTTTGTGGTGGGCCCATGGTTACATAGAAACGGCCCTATAACATTTTGCCAGCGAAAAAAATTACAATAGTTCCAAAACCCGTTTTCCGTGTACATGTATGTCTTTGGTGGCGTTTTCGCGCGCATTTTCAACGGCTACATGGAAACTGTACCATAACATTTGCGAAAACGGGCGCGGTAACGCTGCGTTAACCCGTACACAGAAATGGGCCTTAGTAAAGCAGGGGGAAACTTACCTGCTCAAAGTTTCCTCAAACTTTCTTATTGAACAAGACGAGAATTGCCAGAGTCTTGGAGCTTGAGTATTAGATGTAGGATATCGTAGCTTGGTCGTCATAATATAATTATCATCATCTGAACATCCTGCGGCTTCTCTATCATGAGTTGCTCCAATACTGGTGAAACAATCACAACGTTTTAGTAGTCAAATCTAATAAAAAGAACCTCCTATCCCCACTGGGTATAATTCGCTTAGGAGAAGAAAATGAAATGAAATGAAATGAAATGGGGTCTAACGTCCTACTGTTCTGCTCCTATACTGGGCTAATGAAGACGGGCATACGCCATACAGTGTGCTATGAGGGAAATTTTGCCGGGGCAGCGGCACTATCGCCTACTCTTATAACAAATTCCAACTGCCAAGGGATCTTTTACGTGCATTCCAATGTTTACACGGGACCTCGGTTTTTCGTCTCATCCGAAAGACTAGACAGCTGTCCTTGTCAGGCCCTCCGTCCTGCATCACTGACAAGGGGAAACCACGTCGGAAAATCGGGATGAACTTTCTCGGACGCTTAGGAGAAGAACCAATCTGATTAAAATACAGATCTATATTTCGTTTCGTTTTTACACTTTCAATGGTCTCTACTACATGAAGATCTGATCAGTGGTAGTGAGATGTTGCGTCAGGGATCATACGAGCGGCGTTTTACCTCATGCCGCCAGACATTTGATTAGCGTTGATGTTTCTAGTCGGATACCTACAGTTTGTGCATCGCACGTCAAGACCTCGCTGCAACATACCGTTTCATTGGCTAATCCTTAACTCTGCCAGATCCTAGTGTAGTAAAGATAAGTAAAATGAAATTTTAAACTATATAAAACGAAACGAAATAGGATCTGTGTTTTAATCAGATTGGAGAAGAACCTGTTCAAGGAAGAATAAGAATCTAGCAAGAATCTATGACTGGACCACATTTTGGACATAATTCGCTTTGAAAAAGACCTTGTTCAACAGACAACCCGACTTCTTGTCAAGTATAAGTGGGGAATCGAAACTACGCCACTTGACTCAATGACAGAGTTTAAGATCTAATACACGGCGCGTTAAAGCATTCGGTCACTCAATCCCTCAGAAGTCCAAGAGCAGAGTCATCTGTTAGTTGGTTTAGGAAGGGACACCACCATTGTGAATATACTAACCTATGTCCAATCTCATGGGCAGCTACTGAAGCCACTGTTGACGTCATGTCATCTTCAATAATGGAGAAGGAATCCTCCGTACACATTCCTCCCAATGCAGCCAGTCCTATCGTGTAGACATAACAAAATATATTTTTCATTAATGCAGCCAGTCCTATCGTGTAAACATAACAAATTATATAATTCACTTAATGCAGCCAGTCCTATCGTGTAGACATAACAAAATGTATATTTCACTTAATGCAGTCAGTCGTATCGTGTAACCATAACAAAATATATATTGCACTTAATGCAGCCAATCCTAACAAAATATATTTCACTTAATGCAGTCAACCCTACCGTGATTTCACTTAATACAGTCAGCCCTATGTGTGAACATAACAAAATATATATTTCACTTAATGCAGTCAGCCCTATGTGTAAACATAGCAAAATGTATATTTTACTTAATGCAGCCAGTCCTGTCGTGTAAACATAACAAAATATATATTTCACTTAATGCAGTCAGCCCTATGTGTAAACATAGCAAAATGTATATTTTACTTAATGCAGCCAGTCCTGTCGTGTAAACATAACAAAATGTATATTTCACTTAATGCAGCCAGTCCTGTCGTGTAAACATAACAAAATGTATATTTCACTTAATGCAGTCAGTTCTATCATGTAAACAAAAATATGTACATGAAGAGTTGTTACATAATCCGCCGGCTGATGTGAGGCATTAGCCAATCAAACGGTCTGTTACGACGAGTTGTCGGCGTGAGGTACACGGAACTGTGGGTAACCTACTAGAAACATCAACACTGATAGAGTCAAAAGTCATAGAGTCAAAAGTCGTTCGTTTGACCTCTGACGCGAACTTCCACTACAATACAGCCGATCAGATCTGCGTGTAGTAGAGACAATCGACAGTATAAAAAAAAACGAAACGAAATATAGATCTGTATTTTAATCAGATTGATCAGTGGTCCGGACGCTTTAATATATATATATATATACGTAAAACAACACCACTTACCTTTAGCTTCTACATTTGTACCTTTCTGTAAATTATACCTAAAAGGAATTAGGACAATTTCTCAAAACTTTTGGTAGAAGGGGAGAGAGAGAGAGAGAGAAATGGGGTTTAACGTCCAATCGATACAAACTAAGTTATTTCGGGACTAACTCATGGTACAACTTATTTCAATAATTCGCTTGCGCGTAGGGGTCTTTAGTAGTTGGAGGAAACCGGAGGACCCGGAGAAACGGGGGCGGGGTCGGAGTTTGTCTCGTCAATAATACTTAAATGGCTTAGTTTGTGTCACGAGGACGATAAACCCCATCCCCCCACCCAATCTCGGGAGGTGGGTGTGTGTGTGTGTTGGGTTGGGGGGGGGGGGGCACCCGTAAAGTGGTTATCGGTTATCATTCTTTTCTTCAAATTATAACTACCAAGGAATTGTTTACTTGCTGTACAATGTCTACACGGGTGAGTTAAGTATTATGGAGTGTTTCACATGTATTTAGTGGTAGGAACTCTACAAGTGTCAGTTGAATAAAAGTATGGGGTTATTGAAAAGGTGTTACCTACCCAGAGAAAGCCATGACATGATCTCTAGAAGGAAGATCCGTTCTTTGATTCACCCATATTGTAAGTTTCTCCAGTGCCTCTGTTATATTCACAAAACCAGTTGGAAACTTGCTTGATTCTGTCCATGCCGAATCACTACTTCTCTGTTATAAAACACATTATCTATATATTATAATTTACAAATGGGGACTCTGAATTTGCTTTTTCTAGCTTTATGCGAAGCGTTACGATAGGATTGTCCACGATCTGGTACGTTCGGATACGTTTCGATACGACTAACACGATTGCTACGACTGACTAGCGTGCCAGTGTCTTACTCACAGAGCCAACATGTTAGGGAGCCAGTGTCTTACAGAGCCAACAGACTAGCGAGACAGTGTCTTAATTACTCAGAGAGCCAACAGACTAGCGAGCCAGTGTCTTACTAACAGTCAACAGACTAGTGAGCCAGTGTTTTACGCACGAAGCCAACAGACTGGTGAGCCAGTGTCTTACTCCCAGAGCCAACAGACTGGTGAGCCAGTGTCTTACTCACAGAGCCAACGGGCTAGGGAGCCAGTGTCTTACTCACAGAGCCAACAGGCTAGGGAGCCAGTGTCTTACTCACAGCGCCAACAGCAGGGGGAAACACTACAAAGAATTGTTGCTGGTAAGTGCTTACCTTTAAAATAATAAGACCTGTCAACTTGAATTTAAGACTTTTGATGACTTTGCTTTCCTTGGCGACATGGCTATACCGCTGATTCAGCTAAAATATAAAAATGACCCTGTCTGTAAATATTCGAGTTATAAATTGTATCTTTTATCAACGCCACAAATTCACGTAGGAGTGTAATATGGTCCTCTTGGATGTAAATAAGTAGGTTCATTCTCCTAAAGGGGTGCCTCATCGATATTCCCAATTGCTGCATTGAAATCTCTTAAGTAGTTCTCATATCATCAACATTCAAGGTGGCTTACCGATATTTCGCATTATTATCTTTTCTGTGCCAAACCAAAAAATTACGGAATCCTTACCCCTATTGCCCCTTTTCACTAATGAGAATACTGCGAAGTTCGATAATAATAATAATAATAATTTTTACTTGACCAAAAGTGTTGGTCTTTTGAAACATATGCAGAACAAAACTAAAACTTAAAGATACATTATGCAAGCGCTAAATCTGCCTATTGCATGTCTCTCTTTAGGCCCGAAATGTTATATAAATTATTAATTAGACATTTATTAACAAAATAAGACCATAATCACCCCTCGATGTCATCGGGTACTCGAGATTTTAACTAGATTAGAACGGTTCGCCATTTAAAAATTTAATTTAAAAATGGGAAAGCGAGGCTAAGTCTCGAATATACCAGTGCCCTGGTTACCACAATGCACACATCTTGTCAAAACTACAATATTTTCATTTTACATTATCTCTTTTTCAGCTATTATAGCAAGAATGGTCCGCTCTTTATCTAAATTTTACATAATGCATCTTTAAACGGAACTTTGAACATCATATAAACGCCATCTGGACATACTTCAGACACATACAGGGTTTCCAGCTACGTATAAATAGTGGGCGTGCCCTTAATATAACCTAATCTTATAAACAAAACCCAAGCTACCATAGACGTTGAACGTCGGCAGAATAAATGTGATATATGAATAGGCTACTTACAGATCGGATAATCCAATGATAAAATATCTTCATATGTTCTTCAGTTTTAGTTTCATTCCCATTATATAAATTAAGCCATCTGAAATGATAACGTATAGGTGAGAGAAAGGAGTGGTGTTTAAGATCCACTTGTTTTGTTTTGTCTGGGTCCTCCGGTAAAAGACGCATACGCGCAAGTGATATATTGAAATAAAACTGAACCATGTGTTAGTCCCGAAATGACCTAGTTGTGTCGAGTGGACGTTAACCCCTCTCTCTCTCTCTCTCTCTCTCTGTTTTATTTAAATAAAATTTACTAACTTACTTCCTGTAAGCCTCGCTATCAACAACAAATAGAATTTCAATAACATGGTCAGCCGGTGTGGTTGCTTGTCTTTTCTCACGTTTATGTCCTATCTGGTTACCTGTAAGAAGAAAATAAAAGTTGGCACGGTGTCTTTTACGGGTTTCCAGGCGGGTTTTGAATGTTCTACGTTGTCTCTTGCGGTAAAAGAAGAAACAAACATCAATAATATACCTTTCAGTAAAACATAATCTTCAGTGAAATCTGCTATGACTTGATTGGGCGATACATGGAAGGTAGTTCCATCCCCAGCGACTATGTTTCTCCCGGTACTCTGAAATAAAAAACGAAACAAAAACAAATAGTATAACAGAATACTGAAATATTATCAGACATGTTTTACTCAGCCTCATAAAATGAAATCGCGTTTGTCTTCCGGGGGTATCAGTGTCGTATTTACCTACGGCAGACTAATGTCTTGGGTCTCACAATCTAGCGTGCCTACTATTAATGTCTTCGGTTTGGCCCTTTCTTGAAGGCACTATAATCTGAAACATCACCATCCTCAGCTTTGCTTAAACCACTTTCATCTTTCTATTATCGCGAAATATCTAAATCCGGCCATGGGTGGTGGTTGTATTGCGGAGTGGGTCAAGTTTCAGGTACTTTTCAAATTAATAAAGGTAACCTAATAATGTATATTTATCCGGAGGGAAGTGAAAGTTTGAAATATGAAATTGCAACTGGTATTTTACGCCGATGAAGAACATAGACAACCCCCCGGGCGACACAAACTGGGTGCCTGGACCATCGAGTCACAGGAGTACAGAGGTGTGTGTGTTGGATTGGGGAGGGAGCACACTCCCGTCGTGGTTGGTGAGGTTTCTTGTACTCCATCGAGAATTATTATTATTATTATTATTATTAATATATTTAGAGCCCACTCCATACATTATCTCAGTAGGCTTTACAATTTATACATATTAAATTGACTGTAAATATCGATTGCCCTAAGATTTCGAGGGAGAACATTCCACAGTTCGGGCCCACAGACTGACAGTGAGCGCTTTGCATATGCGGTAAAATGGCGTGCCTCTCTCGTGGAGGGTGGTTCGAGTCGGATCTCATCCGAACTACGAGTGACTCTTCCGGATCTCTGAACGGACACCAGCTCACTGAGGTAACGCGGCGCCGTACGAAGGTGAATACTTCTGAAAATAATATCTTTGGCATTCTTTTGCATGTTGTAAAAACGACGAAATCTGACGTCTTTCACGGGTTACCATTTAAATCCCACCAGACGAGAATGCGAGTCAGATATCTAGAATGAGAACCTTTGACGTATATTGGCATACAAAAATGAAATGGCGTTTTAATTCATAATGTTCTGCTCCGACTGGGCTAATACTGACGGCTATCTTGAATCCAAGTTCCATTTAAAAAAAGTGCCCCGTTGAACTACCCCAGCCCCGAAGACTTGAACTTTACACTTTTTATAGAGCAATACAGTCGAAATACAAATACAGCCAGCAAACAATATAAGGGCGGTAGGGTAACTGGCCCTTGCTTTTCTAGACAGGGATGCTTTGGCGTCAATAGCCCCGCACTTCCTCCCCCCGTTCATCACTGAAAATTGTAAAACAATTTAATGTTTTTAAAATGCCTAAATACAATTTAAAGAACAGTCGGCAAAAAAGCAAAGGTGGTAGGGTGCGTGTGCGGGATGGCGAACAATTTTTTGTCCCATATAATTAACAGTCAGCTTAGGATGGAAATCGTAATTTACTCCGAAACGAGCCGGGTGGTGACTAAGGCTTGGTTGATGATTGCCCGTCAGTCCGCACATCTAGGGCCGGGCTACGCACTCCCAAGCGGGGACAGCACCCCCACACCCCTTTTTCTGAAAAGCCTTGATCCGCCCCTGTATACATGTTGTTTATTATAAAACATAATAATATCTTTATGACAGCTGGATTAGACAAAACATACAGATGACACTAGTGATAATAAATACCCTGAAGACATCCAATGACATTTATTACTTGGTTAACACAAACATATCTTGTCAAATCAAGACAAAGATAAATAACAAACACGTCGGGAGAGACATACTCGGTTACCCAGTGTACTCATTCCGTTCTACTCCACTATACCCTGGGTTAATCCATAGGGTTTCCACGATTTCAAATTATCTGCCCTGGCCTAGAATGTAGCTACAGTCTACGAACCAATCAGAAAACATTTTACAAACCAATCGTTCCGCCTTCGTTTTTATAAGGGTAGATAACCATATTCATGCCCATTTACTGAATGATTTATGTGAATAATGTATATATTTATAATTTAATTATATTTAATTGTATTATCAAAATCTGTAGTATATATTGTTGATTTCAAATATGTATAACATCTATATGTTTGACTTTTATTATTATTATTACTATTCGTTCTTTGTCTGAAATATGTCAATCTTTTATGTTTATTATTATTGAACTTATTCTTAGCAATTTAATTCACAATTCAATCCACCATTCAACCCGACACTAACCCTGAAACACTCGCTGACCGTATCATCGAGGTCATGCTTGCCATTCAGGGCAGAGTTGGGCCGATTCCTGTCTTTTGGATAAATTCATACCCAAGGCTAAAACCCAGATACTTCGCTGATCCTCTCGAGTATATTCATATACAAGAAAGGTTAAATCAGCACATGCTGAGGATACTGGCCCTATACCCCATGTTGCACTACGGGGGCACATACTCGTACCAGAAATGGAAACAAGCCACAGAAAAGATGCTTCAGGAAGATGAGAACCACCTCAACGACACAGAACACCAAAATCTACTGGACATGATACGAATAATGATAGACGAAACGAAACTGCCCAATGCTACTATGAGATGGAGAAGCCCCTTCAGTACATAGGTAAACCATGGAAGATCGACAACTGTCTGAGTCCCTTCCATGAATCAACTAGTATCTTTTAAATCAATGTCAATCCACAATATATTTCCACTTAAAATCCAACACAATTCTCAAACTTTAAGTAATTTTTTTTACCCCCCCCCCCCCAAGCCTTACTAGACGAAATAAAAACAAAAATCACAGTAAGACCAGATACTCTCTTTTCTCTAGCTTTCTTTTTCAGGTGCTTGATTCTTCCTTCAGAGAACCAACAATAAAAGGTATAGTGGAGTAGAACGGAATGAGTACACTGGGTAACCGAGGATGCAGGAGAGAGAGAGAGCGAGCGAGCGAGGGAGAGAGAGAGAGAGAGAGAGAGAGAGAGAGATGGGGTTTAAAGTCCAGCGAGAGAGAGACAGAGAGAGAGACAGAGAGAGATATGGGTTTAAAGTCCACTCGGGACTAACATAGGGTTTAATTTTATTTCGTATTTCAATAATTCGCTTAGCAGTGGGAGGAAACACATCGGAGAGAAAGAGAGAGAGAGAGAGAGAGAGAGAGAGAGGGGGGGTTAAAGTCCACTCAACAGAAACTAGGTCATTTCGAGACTAACATATGGTTTAATTTTATTTCAATAATTCGCTTGCGCGTAGGGGTCTTTAGCAGTGGGAGGAAACCGGAGGACCCAGAGAAAACCCACGCCAGTTGACTCAATGACAGGACTTATGATACAGCGCGCACGTTCTAACCATTCGGCCATCCAACCCCTCCAAACACGTCGGGAAAGGGGGAGAGATTTGGCACCTTGTATGACTAAATCTATTTGTTAAGGCCAGCTCAATTTTTGTCACGGTCGCAGAGATGTTAATAATGTTAGGGCACGTGATTGTTGGCGAGATTGTATTAGGTTTAAGAACTTGGGTTGATAAACTACATATTCATATGGACGGCAAAATCTATTTGTTAAGGCCAGCTCAAATTTTGTCAAGGTCGCAGAGATGTAAATAATGTTAGGGCACGTGATTGTTGGCGAGATTGTAAGTTAGGGTTAGGGTAAGTATTGGGGCTAGGTCCTGGGTTAGGGTTAGGGTTGGGATTATCGCTAGCCCTGTTTACATCTCGTGCCGTATGACGAAAAATTGAGCTGACCTTATCATTTAGCACTAAACTATATATATGTATTGTAACTGTGGGACTCATCTGTTACTACTGCGGTGGTAAGTGCGAGCCTATGATTGCTCGGGGATTGGGGGGCCGAATGGTTAACGCGTGCGGGTTGGACCACAAGGTCTGTCATTCAAATGTGGGTGATTTTAAGGAAAATATATTATAATCAAGACTAACATCCAACTCACTAATCAGTTTACCAATGAATATACACGAAACAGGGAGAGAGCGACACAAACGAGGTCATTTCGTGACTAATTTTATTTCAATAATCCAATTGCGCTAGCAGTCTTTAGCAGTGGGAGAAAACCGGAGGACCGGGAGAATACTCACAAAGGTTGACTGACGACCCCTACCCCTTGTCACGTACAACCGGGAAATCGAAACGACGCCAGTTGACTCAATGACAGACTTTATGTTACAACGCGCACGCGCTAACAGTTCGGCAATCAAACCCCCCGAATTAGGACGATACAGTAGTCAGACACATTTCTATCCGAACGAATAAACAACTTAAGACGGTTTTATTGTTTTACAGAATGTACATCTAGACGTGAATTCGTCATAATATATGGTTATAAAATGTAATATCAGTTTATCGTTTATAGCACGTCTAGTTTAATCACGTAGGTAATAAATTACACAAAACATCAACTGTAATTAAAATTAGATTCTACTTTCGTTTTCTGTTTTTGTTTTTGTTTCTTTTATTTCTTTTTTTTAAATTAGGAGTAGGAGATGCTTTGTGTAACATGAATATTTAGGGTTACTATTCAGGTTAGGCTTTTTCGGGTTGTTTCCTTGGTTAGGAGAGGTTATGCGTTACAACAGTATTTAGGGTTACTATTCGGGTTTGGCTTTTTCAGGTTTATTTTTTGGATGCGCGAGGTTATTCGTAATAGCAGTGTTTGGGGTTCCGGCTCGTGTTAGAGCAACTTTTTATTGTGCCACTCAACAGTCACAAAGAGTATTTGGTAGCTTCATTGAACTAGGGTTAGGTAGCCAGTCTAGATATCTGAAATAATAATGTCCATACTGTATGGCCCAGTCACCGTACCCAATATATGAGAGAGAAGGGTCATTTGGGAACTAACATACGGTTCAATTTTATTACGTTAATTTGCTAGCGCGTAGGGTCTGTAGCAGTGGGAGGAAATCGAAGAATCAAGGAAAAACCAATGAGGTTGTACAGGAGATCCTACCTCTTGTCGCTTTAAAGGTTTGGCTCGAAACTACGCCACTCAGTGACAGATCTTATGACCCAAAACGCATGATGATGATGATGGTAGTGTATACTTACAGATTGTGTATTTAGTAGTCGGGCTTGTAGCTCACCATTTATTGCTGGTATCTTTACACCTTTAAAGATACATTATGTAAGATTTAGATAATGAGCTAGTCATTCTTGCGATAATATTTCGAAAGTAGATGATGTAAAATGAATAATATGAAAATTACTCCGTTGCGAGCGAAGATATTAGATTTGAAGGTTTGACAAGACGTGTGCAATAATTTTAACCACCGCTCCTCCATTTTTAGCTTAAATCAAAATATGGCCGAACTGTTCTAATCTATTTAATATCGGAGAAATCCGATGCCATCGAGTGATGATTATGGCCTGGATATGTTAATTAATGTCTAATTAATAATTTATATAACATGAAAGACATGCAATTGGCAGATTTAGCTCTTGCATAATGTATGTTAAATGTTAAAATATATGCAATATGAAGTTGATTATATACAGATTAATGTTGTGTAATTTAAACAAAACAGTTTTCAATAAACCATTACATCGATGGAAGCCGTGGTGGTTCAGCGAGCAAGACGCTGGTTCACTTATCGGGAGGTTCGTGGTCATGAGAGAGAGAGGGGGAAAGAGAGCGGGAGAGAGCGAGAGATAGGGTTTAACGTCCACTCGACACAATGCAGGTCATTTCAGGACTAAAATATGGTTCAATTTTATTTCAATAATTCGCTCTGCACGTATGGGTATTTAGCAGTGGGAGGAAACCGGAGGATTCGGAGAAAACCCACGAGGTTGGACAGGCGACCCTACTCTTTGCCACGTACAACCGGGGATGCAATGACAGACCAGTTGACACAAATGACAGACCTTATGATACAACGCACGTGCTAATCTTTCGGCCATCAACCCCCCCCCCCCCCACCCCGGGGTCATAAGCCGTGAGGTGAAACGTTACGGGACAATAAACGACCATTAGAACAACCGTTTTATAAATAGCTTAAATTCAAATGTACACTCAAAGGTTAATTATGTATAACCCGTGTACACATTAGCATGCACGTAAAAGAACCCTTGACAGTTGAAATTCGATATAAGTGTTGGCCGTAATGCCGCTGCCCGGGCAAAGTTTCCCCATAGCACAGTGAGTGCATGGTGTATGCCCATCTTAATTCGCCCAGTCGGAGCAGAACAGCAGGACGTTAAACTCCATTTCATTTCTTTTCATGTCTTGTCCACTGCAATACTTTAAAAAGGCGAAGTGGTATCGGGTGTTCGAGAAACCGAGCAGTTGTTTAAGTTCAATAGCAGGCGAGTAGACAATTTATGTGACCTTTAAAATTAGTTAAACGTATCAGAATCAGTATAGAAGCTAAAAGCTAAAACTGACACTTCATATAATAAACAGACACGAGGAATGCTTGGTAGCCTCAATGAGCTAAGGTTAGGGTTAGGGCCTCAAATAATCGCCAGTCTTGACGTCCGAAGTATTAAAATTAGTTGGACGTACCAGAAACAATATATTAGCACAAGCCAAAACAGATAATTACTGATTTTAAAAAAAATAATAAAATAAACGCTTCAAAGGTCTTACCATCAAAAAATCTGTGAGTGGACATAGCAAGTCCACCAGCGCTTACATAAAGTGAGACAACCAGAAGAATACCAACAAAATGGTCCGCCATAGTGTGCTATGCCACCTTCTATGGTATAATAGTGTATAAAATACAATTTCTGACGGTAATTAATATATGGTGATGTTTTTAATGGGATATTTGTGTTTTTAAGTGTCATAACTTACTTGTTTACTTAATATGTCGTGTTTTTGTAATTATACACTTTGTCATTGTCCGCGGCATTGTATTGCGTTAAAAAATTCAGAAGCTAACAAAATAAAGTTTTTCATTTAATATTTACACTTGGAATTAGATTACATTCTCGGTATGAAAGTATTGTTTGTGAAATGAAATGAAATGGGGTTTAACGTCCTACTTTTCTGCTCCGAACTGGGCTAATGAAGGCGGACATGCGCCATACAGTGTGCTATGAGGGGAATTTTGCCCAAGCAGCGGCAATACGGCCTACTTTTATATGGAATTTCAACTGTCAAGAGATCTTTTACATGCACGCCAATATGTACACTTGACCTTGTTTTTTTGTCCCATCCGAACGACTAGACAGCTGTCCTTGTCATGGGACCTCGGTTATTCGTCCCATCCGAACGACTATACAGCTGTCCTTGTCAGGCCCCCGTCCTGCATCACTGACAAGGGGGAACCACGCCGGAAAATCTGGATGAACTTTCTCGACCAATGCAGGGATTGAACACCCGACCTCCAGGCTACCGAGACAGCGTCTTACCCACTTAGACACCGTGATCCCCCGTTTTTTTAAGAATGGGGGATTAACGTGCTGATTTTCTGCATTAACCGGGATAATGAAATGAAATGGGGTTTAACGTCCTACTCCGGGTTAATGAAGACGGTGACAAGTTTTATCCTTAAAATGGAAATATTAATATATCTATTCTGAAAAATAAGATCTTTCATAAAAGCAATAAAGGTATTGATGACCAATTAGTATTAAGTTGTATTTTACAATAAATATGCCACACGGCTAAGGTCTGTCATTGAGTCAACTGGCGTGGTTTCGATTCACCGGTTGTACGTGACAAAGAGTAGGGTCGCCTGTCCAACCTCGTGGGTTTTCTCCGGTTTCCTCCCACTGCTAAAGGCCCATACGCGCAAGTGAATTATTAAAAAATAAAATTGAACCATGTGTTAGTCGCGAAATGACCTAGTTTGTGTCGAGTGGACGTTAAACCCATCTCTCTCTCTCCCTCTCTCTCTCTCGCCACAAGGAGCAATTCACAGATAGCAGCTATATCTGGCCCCAAGTTCTCAAAGCATTCTCAACTTTCAGTCAGTGTTTATGAGAAATATTTTTGATCCAGAAACGCATAGTTTCTTATGGGTGTTTTTGATACATTAAAACAACTAAAGTTTTATAAAAGGGCTATATTTTAGTTAAAACAAGGTGAAAATTTTGAGTATATTCTTAACTTAAGTCTGAGAATGCTGATATAATGAGCACCTTTACCGGCTTTAACCTTAGTTACAGTAAGCTTCTGGGCACGGTAAAGGCTAAAGTTTTAATTAATTTCTTTGGATTAGATTTCGTGAAGGCATAAAACTGATCCATATCAAACGTGGCGACCAACACAATGAACACCAGGCCCGTAGCCAGCGGGGGGCAAGTGGGGGCAATGCCCCCGTGAAAAAATGTTTTGCCCCCCACCCCCACGAAAAAATAAATTGCCGACCATAGCTCTAAAATACCCACTGTAGACTGTGCCGGGCGTGCCCCCCTAAAAACTTCACTGATGAACACTCAAGTTTCTTTTCCAACAAGTTGCTGTCTATGGCTACCCTTTTTTTATCCAAGCTTTGCCTGACTATATCTGCTCTGGCAATGCTTTCACAAAACATTTTCAGACTTAAGTTAAGATTTTACTCAACTTTTAATCACTGTTAATGATAATTATCTTTGATCCAGAAACACACATGTGTGCTCATAGTTTGTAATTGATGTATCTGATCTATTAAAACAATAACAGATTTATAAAGGGCAATATTTTAATTTATGAAAAGGCAAACAATTTTGCATAAACACTTAACTTAAAGATACATTCTCACGAAAGTATTTATCGGGTGGTTATTTCCAATAAAAGTATGGCAAATTTGAATATACGCCCAATCTTACTGGAAAAATAATGGGGTATCACTAACTGGCAACCCGAAGTCTTATTGTCTGCCAGCTGAACTTGATCGAACATTGAGAGGTGTAAACGTATAACAGACTCTGCAATTAAACGACTGAAAAGGAAGTAGAAATAATTCATGAATTTACGTAGTCCTCAATATGTAAATCGACAGTAAGTAGTGACAAATACATTCTGAAAAAAATGGGCCCTCCCTTAATCAAGTTAGGTAAGAAACATGGCTTTTTTTATAACTTGGGGTATTTCCTCGCGAATACAAAGTTTTAAGAGAGATTTTAAGCCAATATTTGATAGATTAATTAGTTTGATTATGTTTTTAATGAAGATATAGCATCAAATAACACAGTTTGTACGCGGGAAGGTATCTTTAAGTCTGAGAATGTTTTGTGAAACCGGGTCCGGATCTTGGGGAGCAGGTGTGGCTAAAATGGCAACGGAATCGAGTAACGTGGCCGGTTTGATAGTTCGAACTCGAGTGCCAGTGGCTCTCATTGGCTATAGTAATGAAGACCCGGCATTGACGTAAAAAAATGGGTCAATGAACAAGGACATACTCCATGCAGTGTGCTATGAGAAAATTTGCCCGGACAGTGGCACTATTTTCGAATTCCAACTGTCAAGGGTTCTTTTTCGCACACCACAATGTGTACACGGAACCTCGGTTTTTCGTCCCTTCCGAACGAATGTACCTTGACGTAAAAACGAATCTGACAGTTGAAATTCGAGATAAGAGTAGGCCATAGCGCCGCTGCCCGGGCAAAGTGCCTCCATTCTGTGTGGTTCAGAACGTGTAGTCGTTAGGATGGGATGAAAAACCGAGGTCCCATGTACACATTGGCGTGCACGTAAAAGATCCCTTGACAGTTGGAATTCGATATAAGAGTAGACCGTAGTGCTGCTGTCCGGGCAAAATTTCCCTCATAGCACACTGTATGGCGTATGCCCGTCTTCATTAGCCCAGTTCGGAGCAGAACAGTAGAACAGTAAACCCCATTTCATTTCATTTCATTTCCAATTCATTTCATGTCATTTCAAAACTAACTATATGTTTTAAAACAGGAGATGGTCCACTTGTTTCAATATCCTCATAGCAGATGTATACCCATGGAAACCAGTAGAACCTCTAGACGGTACCGTTGAAGTTACAGGAATAAGGAGTTTATGAGAGCAACGAAAATCAACCTCTAGATCACTGATTCTCAACCTGTGTGCCGCGAGATCTTCATAAGAGTGCCGCGAAATTTTGAACGGCACACTAAGAAAATGCGAAAAACCACGTGATCCCAATTGAGTAGTCACTGATGTTTACTGGTAAGTTCATAGCTGTGTTTTTCTATATTTAGTTTGAGTCATTGTATGTGTCTATGACTATTCTCTGTCTAGGGTTGTGTTCCGTTTGACTTAGAATGTTTTTATTTTGTAAAATTCAAATATTTTTCATATATATTTAGTCAGGTGTGCCGCAATTGTTTCGTGTGTTCCAAGGTGTGCCGTTGACAAAAAAGTTTGAGAACCACTGATGTAGACTGATCCCCATTTACATCTGGGAGTGCGTGTAATAATATTGCTAGAATTTTGGCTCTTGAAATTAATGGTGGCAGTATATTTCATTAATTAATATCGTTTGCAAGTTATTAGATTCACATATAAGTACAAATCAACTTAGTGAAAAGGTGACAGGTTGACACATAAAAAGAGTTATAGAGCCAAAACATTTGTCAATAAAATACCACCAGATTACACGTGAGTGGAAATATACTAATTTCATCATTTGGCTTAATTTAACCAATCATATCAGAAATTGCACAGGTTCAAGGCCACGAACAGGCTTTTCTGTGCCTGATATCCTATAAAAGAAATCATTATAAACTTTTAAAACAGATTTTCATTCGATTCCGGAGAGATTACCATCTGAGTGCAATTTCTATCAGCAGATTCGCCCATCGAGTCTGGCTGGATGAGGTTTGAAAGAATGACTTTATTCAATTATGCATTGTGCCATATGTAAGCCGCTATATGATATATAAAATGTAAAAACGAACTGTTGCATTGTTATAACTACTGAGAAGACAAACGCCTTAAGAAAACAGTACGAAGTAAATACACAACGTGAAGCAGAAGCAAAGACAGATAGAGGCAAATTCTAGACAATCACAAGGCTACTAAGATATGTAGTCAGAAAAGATGCATGGGTCGTACGTAGGATGTGGCGACCGGTTTTCCCGCGTCCGCTCTCCATGTCTGACAGAAGGCCCATGGTACTACATGCGCTGTATCACAGGGTCTGCCATGTTTCTATGACTATCTCTGTCTACAGTTGTATGCTGTCTATGACGTGCCATGTTTTATTTTGGAAAATTTAAATAGTTTTCATATATATTTAGCTAGGTGTGCCGCTATTGGGTGATAAGTTCTCATTACACTCATTTGGTTACATCTTCAACGTCGTCAGCCGACTCCAGAACTGTATATTAACAAACATCGAGCTTAAGATTTGATCTAACCTATGTTTGTTTTTGTTCTAATAGTTTAGATTACTACATAACATTTCTAACTCTTTATGGTGTGTTAAGGCTTTAATGAAATAATAAAATCAAACAATTGTTTGTAATTCCACTTTATTGGAAGACTACTGGAGTACTTAACCCCAGAATCTTTAATGAAATAATAAAATCAAACAATTGTTTGTAATTCCACTTTATTGGAAGACTACTGGAGTACTTAACCCCAGAATCTGAGTCTATTGAAACGTTCCATTAACAGTCTTCGTCTTTCATTCAAGACATTTCCATTGAAGTTATTTAAGTTATTTATATTAGAAACTGGTACGCATACACGCTCCACATAACGAACTCTAGACGAAATAGTTGCAATACCCGGATTCGTTATTGGGGATGTAGTAGATCGTGTAGTGGTTGGTGTTATATCGCTTACAGCTGCAACAACCGGTGATGTTGCTGGACTTGAAAAAGGCGATGTTGTGGGACTTGTAGTGGGTGATGTTGTTGGACTGGTAGTAGGTGATGTCCTTTGACTTGTGGTTGGACTGGCAGTAATTGGATTTGTAGTGGGTGATGTTGTAGGACTTGTAGTGGGTGATGTTGTTTGACTCGTAATATGTGATGTTGTTGGACTTGTTGTTGGTGATGTAGTTTGACTTGCAATAGGTGATGTTGTTGGACTTGTAGTAGGGGATATTGTTTGGCTCTTCGTAGGTGATGTTGTAGGACTTGTAGTAAGTGTTATTGTTGGACTTGCAGTAGGAGATGTTGTTGGACTGGTCGTAGGTGATGTTATAGGACTTGTAGTAGATGGTGTTGGGCTTGTAGTGGGTGATGTAGTAGGTGATGTTGTAGGACTGGTAGTAGGTGATGTTGTCGGACTCGTAGTGGGTGATGTTTTAGGACTTGTAGTTGGGGATGCAGTAGGTGATGTTGTTGGACTTGTAGTAGGTGAAGTTGTAGGACTTGTAGTAGGAGATGTTATATCGCTTACAGGAACAATAATAGGGTTTGTGGGTGGAGTTGTAGGACTTGTTGTTGGAGATGTTGTTGGACTGGTAGTAGGACTTGAAGTAGGAGATGTTGTAGGGCTTGTAGTAAGTGATGTTGTTGGGGATGTAGTAGGTGATGTTGTAGGACTTGTAATAGGTGATGTTGTTGGACTTCTAGTTGGGGATGTAGTAGGTGATGTTGTTGGACTTGTAGTTGGGGATGTTGTTGGACTTGTAGTTGGGGATGTTGTAGGACTTGTAGTTGGTGATGTTGTAGGACTTGTAGTTTGGGACGTTGTAGGACTAGTAGATGGGGATGTTGTGGGACTTGTAGTTGGGGATGTAGTAGGTGATGTTGTTGGACTTGTAGTTGGTGATGTTGTAGGGCTCGTTGTGGGACTCGTTTTAGGGGATGTAGTAGGTGACGTAATAAGACTTGTTTCTGGGCTGGTTTCAGAAGTGCAAGAAGCGCAGCATGTGTAGTGACGTTTGAAGGAATCGTAACTAGCGCATTGAGTGCGGTCACAACCAGCTGTGGGATCGTCGCCTTGGGGACATAAGCCTGAAATGAATAAAAATATTTATTAAATGTCATATTTTGGTTATTAATAAAATACTCTTTAAAAAAGTAGGGGGTATTCAGAAACAATACAAAACTGCGGAAATGCACTGCTGTTTTTATTAGAGGTAACCAGTGTATGTTAATAACAGGCCAATTGCCTACACATGAACATAAACAGTTCATATGGGCGACTTATTTGACGGTCCCATTTCACTCACAAAGAGATACACTGTCAAAAGTGAAAATGGATGTTTTTGATTTTTGTCTTAATAATGAGTAATAGCTCCACCAATCCTCAGACATTCAGCAATTCGTCGAGGCATGCTCCCAATCAACCGTCCAATAACGATTTAGGGCCAAATCTTGCATTGTTGTCGGTTGACGTTGACGTCGACGAACACATCTCTCGATCATGTCCCAGACATGCTCTATAGGGGAAAGGTCAGGACTCATGGTTGGCTAAGGCATATGGACAATATGGTGACGCTGAGGGTAGTCATTCACGAAACGAGCGCGGTGGGCACGGACATTATCGTCTTGAAAGATGAAACGTCGACCTGCACGTTGAGCAAAGGGCAGAACTGTCGGTGCCAGGATATGGTCACGGTAGTACACACCAGTGACCCTTCCTTGAACAATATGCAAGTCAAGTCTGTTCTGCCAATCATGGTGATATGGTGATTCCTGCTCACACCATAACAGACCCATGCCCGAATCTGTCATGCTGTCTGACGTTAACGTTAGCATGACGCTCAATTACACGCCTCCAAACGCGAGCACGTCTATCGGTGAAATCCAGAGTAAATTTGGACTCATCTGAGAACATTACACGCGCTCATCGACGATTACCCCAATTTCTACGCTGCCTACACCATTAACGCCTGTTTGCTATGTGCTGGCGAGTTAATGGAGGCACAACACGCATGCAAATGGGCTGCATGTAGCCGATTTCTAATCGTTTGGGGTTAACTCGAATTCCTGTAACTTGGTACAAGTTTACTGAAAGCTGATTGGCCGTTTGTCCTCGATTTCGCAGGACCTGTGTACGAATGTTTCGATCCTGGGCTTGTGTAGTGGCTCTAGGACGACCTTGAACGAGGTCTATCATCAACATTGTGTGTTTGTTTGTACCGGTTCCACAGTCTGCTGATCACAGACTGTGACACATTAAGCATGTTGGCTACTGCTCGCTGTGTAGAACCCATTTGAAGCATGTCAATAGCACGTAGACGTGCATCATGTTGAGGACGTCTCATTGCAAATTAAACGTAACACACTAAAGCAAAGACACTCTAAACAGTAAATCTTATGCAAGAACCGATAGGAAAGCAAACATTGATAGGATAAACCAGCACACGGCAGTTTTCATCAACCCTTCCTTGAAGTGTCAAATTTGACAATGAACCCCTCCCACGTGTATGGCGCTACTGCGTGTCGCACGGGCAGCTCAGTAATTCTGTTGGGGCGATAAGTTCTTCATTTGTGAACATACTCTAAAAGCATGTCAAGTGTCCAAGAGTATTTATCATATCACAACCTGCATAGGTATTTGCATTTCAATATCCCCTACTTTTTTTGAAAAGTATAATTATGAATGCCACTATAAGCATTCACAGAAACCTGCCCATTGGATATGCCAGAAATGCAATATAGGTTGTTCCACTACGATCCAATTACAACCAACGCGCGTGTTATTTTATTTACACTGATACAGACTGGTGTCATGTGCTATGTTGATCAATCACCTGGTTTACTAATAGTGCAAGACAGAGGGTGTAGTCGATCGGATGGGACCAAAACCCGAAGTCCAACGTACACATTTCCTTAAACGCAAAAGTTAAGGTGGGAGTTTCGATATAAGAATAGGCTGTAGCGCTGCTGTTGCGTCATCATTAGCCCATTCGGAACAGTGGAAGTTAAACCCCATTTCAATCTATTTCAATCATTTCGTTTACTAATATCTCTAAGTTTTTTTTGTTATACCACATCATTAAGCTCATAATACATGTTTTTACTTTGTGGCGTATCTATTTATATACACAAAGTTCAAGAAAACTTAGTTGGTCATGTACAAGCAGCGGATACGGATTCTTGAAGAATTTAGCACGCCTTGCAACGTGCACACCACCCAGCTATGGTTATAGCTAAGTGAAGCAATGTTGTCATAGTCCACCCCACCCTCGTCACCCTCTTATTATTGCATGATGTATTCAAATATTTTAGGGGGTTGGATGGCCGAATGGTTTGCATGTGCGCGCTGTATCATAAGGTATGTCATTTAGTCAACTGTTGTCGTTTCGATATCCCGGTTGTACGTGACACGGAGTAGGGTCGCCTGTCCAAGCTCGTGGGTATTCTCCGAGTCTTCCGATTTCCTCCTACTGCTAAAACCCCCTACGCGCAAGCGAATTACTGAAATAAAACTGAACCATGTGTTAGTCCCGAAATGACCTAGTTTGAGTCGAATCTCTCTCTCTCTCTCTCCCTCTGAAATATTTTGATGGTGCAAGAATTTTGGGGTTTGTAAAATTCAAATTAACTTACTATATCTATGAGGAGCATTAGCATTGAATACACATAGACCTTTCTCACACCACTGAAACAAAAACATGGCAAATAGCTTCTAATAAAATGTTACATACAACCTTTTTTATCAGTTAGTGCCTGTAGCCATATATTAAGGATAGGACGGAGGGTCTGACAAGGACAGCTGTCTAGTCGTTCGGATGGAACGAAAAACCGAGGTCCCGTGTATACATTGGTTACACAAAGACCTTTCTCACACCACTAAAACAAAAATTTCACAAATTGCTTCTAGTAAATGTTGAATATTTCTTATCATTATTTAGTGCGTGGGGACATTAATTAAAGATATTTTCCCACGTACAAACTGTGTGATTTGATGAAATATTTAAACTAAAATATATACATCAAATTTGCTATCGTGGTTTCGATTCGCCGCTGATACGTAACAACGAGTACGGTCGCCTGACCAACCTCGTGTTTTTGTTTTCTTGTACTCTACCCCACCCCCATAATGACCCATACAAGCAAATTATTGAAATGAGGAAAATTAACGATTTGTTAATCCCGAAATGACCTAGTTTGTGTCGAGTCAGCATTAAATCCCATTTTGTCTCAAAAATAATGTTACCTTATTATTTCCACAGCTTGTCATATCTCTCCCTGACGCAGGTGACAAGAATACAAGAATATAAGCGTAAAGAGTGATGCACAAGAATATTACCTTATTGTTTCCACAGCTCGTCATCTCGTACGCAATATTATAGGAACAGGTGCCGCCATCTTTACCGCAATACATCACCCAGCACATGTCATCAAAGTTATTCCCAGTAAACCCAGAATAAAAATCCTGAATAGAAAATGAATACAATATTTTTGATATTAATTTTTTTTATGAAATTCAGAGGAAACTGATTAAACAGGATTATATGAGCTTTCAATAATGGTCTTATGATCTAGAGCTTGTGCTTTAGATCACAAGGTCCTTCATTGAGTCAAGTGGTTTGGGTTCGATCCCACCCCTGTACGGGTGGCAAGCAGTCCGGTCGCATACCCAACCTCGTGCCCCCTCCCCTCCTTCCAAAGCTAAAGAATTATTGAAATAAAACTGTACCATATGTTAGTCCCGAAGTGAACTAGTTTTTGTGTGTTGGAGATAAGGACCCATTCTTGTAAATTCCAATTCATTTTAAAACTAATGTGATGTATTTGCCTACGTGCATACAATGGATTGGAGCCAGTTCGGCACTCTCTATTTATACCCGAAAGGAAGCTTAATATTGAACTAATAGCTATGTAAACACGGCTAAATCTTTTTGTTAAGGGCAGCTCAATTTTCGTCAAGGTCGCTTGGATGTAAATAAGATTAGAGCACGTGATTGTTGTCAAGAATGTAGGTTAGGGATAGGGTAAGCATTGGGGTTAGGTCCATGGTTAGAGTTAGGGTTGGGATTAGCACTAGACCTGTAAACATCTCGTGACCTTTGACCAAACTTGGAGTTGGCCTTATCAAATAGATCTAACCATGTAAACGTCCTAAGAACATTCGCGTAGAAGATTGGCCATGAGGGAAACGGTAATAGTAAGTATATTAATGTGTTTTACCCGACAAAACCTCACAGTTGAATCTTTTACAATACGTTTACACTGTGTATCAGCATCATAAACTTGTCCAGCATATTGACCATTGGTCTGTAGAGTTTTTGCTGCAGTAGGAGTATTTGCAGGTAAAGCACAGGAGACGCTGAAGAATTAAAACATTTATTGACTGTAGCATTTTAGCTTACCAGTAAGAGTATTATTATTATTATTAGTAGTAGTAGTAGTAGTAGTAGTAGTAGTAGTAGTAGTAGTAGTAGTATAAGTAGTAGTAGTAGTAACAGTAGTAGTAGTAGTAGTAGTAGTAGTAATGATAATGGTAGTAGTAGTAGTAGTAGTAGTAGTAGTAGAAGTAGCAGTGGTAGTAGTGGTAGTGGTAGTGGTGGTAGTAGTAGTAGTAGTAGTAGTAGTAGTAATAACAGTGGCAGCAGTAGTAGTAGAAGTTGTAGTTGTAGTAGTTAAAGTAGTAGTAGTAGTAGTAGTAGTATTATTAGTAGTAGTAGTAATAATGGTAGTGGTAGTAGTAGTAGTAGTAGTAGTAGTAGTGGTAGTAGTAATTGTAATGGTAGTAGTAGTAGTAGTAGTAGTAGTTGTAGTTGTAGTTGTAGAAGTAGTAGTAGTAGTAGTAGTGGTAGTAGTAGTAGTAGTAGGGGAGACCGGGGCACATTGACCATACGTTCACATTGAGCCACCCATGATATTTTTTATTGTATTATGTGGATCCAGCTACAGATAATGGGAGATGTTCCCCTTTAAGGCCTTAGCCTTGACAGAGATTCATAGAGGACATCAATCTGCTAGTAAGTATTTATGGTACTTTTTCTGTTTTCAACGCGATTTAGTAAATTTTACAGTATAAAGTAATGTTAAGGTTTCTCTATATGATTATGAAATAATACCTTGTGAATATTGCTATGTTAAAAGTACCCCATTGGTCAGTTTTTCTCCCAATGACTTTTTGTGGCAAAATTTCAGACACCATTTTTAATTAAGAATTTTTTTTAAATTAGTCACTCGGGGTAGTTCAATGTACCCCAAATAATGTAATTATTATTAAAGAGCTTTTGTAGGCTCAATCTGTTATAATATCGGTTTCTGATACAGATTTCTGATACAGACACCATTTTTAATTAAGAAAATTTTAAAATTAGTCACTCGGGGTAGTTTGAACCACAGTCTTTGGGGCACATTGAACAGGTGGTTCAATGTACCCCAAATAATGTAATTATTATTCTTTTGTTTGCTCAATTTGTTATAATATCGGTTTCTGATACAGGTTTCTTTTTTTTTAAAGATCTTGTATGAAATCATAAATGTAAAACTGACAGGCGAAAGCAAGATGATGAATTTTTGTATGTTGGTAAAATAATAGATAAATATACAGATGAGTCGGAAACAGATGAGCCAGAATCATTTACACCACAGTTTCGTTCTATCGTCAAAGTTTAAAGGCTCCAGGAAAGTTTGTTAAACCTGTCGTTGAGGACATTTCATGTATTGACGAAAACAGTATTGCAATGTGCCTACCTGAACCCATGAACTCTGGTGGTACAAAAAGAGTATCGTCCCTTGTTCATTTTTCTATTAATTTGGAAAAATTTAAGTGCAAGTAGTATGAAAAAGCATTTTTTGTGCATGTTGTTTATTAATAAACCATTTTGTCACTGTTATTTGGCTCTATTTTGTTTCTTATACCCTATCTTAAAGACGATTCAATGTGCCCCATAATGTGGTTCAATGTACCCCGTGCATGGGGCAGTTTGAACCACATTTTGAAAAAATTTCAATAACCAAAATAAGATCTAAATTTTAAATTGATTTTAATTAAAATATTATCAGCTAGTAAGCTATAATAGTGTTTAACATCATCAGGTGAATTTAAGCCAACATATGATTTAGGTGAGGAATGAGAGGACTAGATGCAAAAACTGGCTCAATGTGCCCCGGTCTCCCCTATTTAGTAGTAGTAGTAGTAGTAGTACTGGTAGTAGTACTAGTAGTATTACTAGTAGTAGTAGTAGTAGCTTAGTAGTAGTAGCTATGCATTGTCCTTATTATTATTATTATTATTATTATTATTATTATTATTCGTCCCGTTTTACCTTGCAAGTTTGTCTTTGATGTCGGCAATAGAACATGCTGAAAACCGCCAAGGATTGGGTGCATCGGAGATACTAGTAGGAAAGTTGAGAATTGTTGACATAATATTATTTGAACTGTCATCACATGTAGGAGCTTTCTTCGAATCATGCTCACAGTTTAATCTGAAAGAAAGACCAAAATAACCACGTGACTGGATACTATTTTAATAAAATACATCGTATCCCTTCTGATGTCATCACGCGACAAGGCGTTATTAATACATCTTCCCACTTCTGATATCACAACTTTAAGGGCACTTCTGACAAACGGTATTCAAAGGTAACGTTGTGGTCGAAAATCAACCATTATAAAAGGTGGTGTATTATGTAAGATTTAGATAAAGAGTTGTCCGTTCGTGCTATAATAATTCAAAAATAGATAATGAAAAAAAATGAATATGTTGAAAATTTCATCCAAATTACTTTATTCGAGGCAAAGTTATGACTGTGTGAAGATGTAGTTTCGATTATCCATTTTATCGTTAAATTTTTAAATCTCCAAGGTGTACAAATCCCACCCCACCCTCAGCAAAAACAAAAAAAAAATAAAAACAAACAGCAATAGGCAGATTTAGCGTCTTTAAGGTGCCTTCACATTTTTTTTTTAATTGAGGTCTTGACATGTTATATACGTCCGGCTTTATGGTCTATCCCAAGTAAAGGTCTCCTCATTACACCATACCTATCATACGTCTCTATTCTCATCCCATACAATGCAGCACACACAGTTCTTATTTCATATACGTATCTATATTTATATTTGTCATGTTGTAACCTTTACTTGAAGAATATATAAATAAATAACCAAATTATAGTCTTAACTTCGGGAATATATTTTTTATTGATACAATGTTTTTTATTCAGTAAAAACCTGAACTTTGATTGGGGAACAGGTAGAGCTGTATGTAACCCCTTGGATAAGCCCGACTACTTCATCACCCTCTTCATCAAAATGAGATGGAGCTTTAGGCTTCTTCTAGACAAAAACTAATACATCATTATTAGTCATATGGATTTCCTATATGTAATAGTAACGGGATTAGGCGTTCGAGTAAGCGTAATCATACCCTACCTAGTGCATGTCACTAGTCATTAATTATTACTAACTGAAGATGTCAGAAGTCAGAAATCGGTGCAACTTTACCACGTGCGGGGTCATTAGCCAAGTTCATTAAATACGAAAAAGGGGGTTGGATGGCCTGCGTGCTGTATCATAAGGTATGTCATTGAGTCAACTGGCGTGGTTTCGATTTCCTGGTTGTACGCGACAAGGAGTAGGGTCGCCTGTCCAATCTCGTGGATTTTCTCCGGGTCCTCCGGTATCCCCCCACCGCTAAAGACCCCTACGCGCATGTGAATTACTGAAATAAAATTGAACCATGTGTTAGTCCCAAAATGACCTAGTTTGTGTCGAGTGAACGTTAATCCCCATTTCTCCCGCTCTCTATCTTAAATACGAAAGTGCAAGAGAAGTGGCATCACATTTTCTAGAAAGGGGAAGCAACTGAAATCACCATAATTTACGAATATTAATCGCCTTGAGTGAGTAAACCGCCCATATGGCGTACTTACGAATGGCCCAATTCATGAGCAGCTATGCCACAGGTAAATCCACTGAATGGGTTCTCCACCAAAGACACAGCCGATGTGGTGCATATTGTACCAACATACGCAAAACCTGTAAAATAAGTAAAGCGCGAGGTAAAATTAGAGGATAGAGGTTTGGGGATGATCTCCCCTTTCTTGTGTTGCCAAGGACTTGGGGGATACCCGATTGAACGTTCCGGAATTAAATTCTCTCAATTCTCAAAACAGTGTCAATCGAGTAACAAGGAGAATTTCGGAGTACAACGCATGTGCCGACTGCATAGAAAATATCTCAACCAATCATGTTAGCTGAAAAATGTTTGTTACATAAAATACGTCACGATTCTACTCGCACCACCTCAGCTTTTGGGACTGGCAGGACTTGACAGGGCTGAATTCCGTATCACTTGATTGCAATTCTGTCAATTCGGGACGTTCCGGACTGACAATGGATCACCGCCGATGTTTTCTTTTTTCTAATCAAGAAATGAGGTTAGGGAGATTGATGCATCGTGCGACTTATCTCCCCTTTCTTTTGTTTCCACTTTCAATTTCCTAGAGCGTCAATCGCCCAAACGTTAATTCTCTCTTTCTGGTTATCCTATCTTGATTTTCTTGCTACAGATTGGCGTGCTATATAATAGTAGGTGCAGGAGGACCGCACTACACGAAAAACAAAATTTAAAAGATAAACCTGCGGACAAGACAGGTTACATAGACATGTAAGTAACAAACAACAAATTTTAATATCAAATCAAATAAATGGATCCGGGGGCCAGCTGTAAGCCTCCACTGTGCTGTACAGTACTGGTTTGTAATGATACAGGCTTCACTCAAAATAAAACAAAATGATTTACAAGAAAGACACGTAACAGCAATAATGCGAGCGATTTTGACGATGGTCGTCTCTTGAATGGTGATGCCTGCCATTTGATTCCATGAGTTAGAATGTCAAACGATTTTAACAATAAGTGGTGTAAATAGATCGATTCTACATCAGTAGTACATATAAATCCATTTCAGTTATCCTTGTTTGACTTTAAAATATACTGCTCAATGGCGCCCCCTACACTTTCATGTGGCACCCGGGGCACATACTAAACTTACGCTGTCTGTCTACAGTTAGCTCCGCTTGAGAACAGACACTAAGCTAGTTGACCGACATTTTAAGCCCCAAGTCGGCAATCTTAATCGAAAACACTAAGGTATACTTCATGAATGTTGTTTGGTTTTTATTCTGCATCTATTTGATGTAATTGAAAAAAGTTTTTGTGTGCATGTGAACCGGAGTAGAAAGGCATTACAAAACAGTATACTAATTTTTGGATATGGCGGCCATTTAGGGCAGGGATCTATTCTCGTGGACTGGAGTATTTGTTAAGGCCAGCCCAATTTTTGTCATGGTCGCTGAGATGTAAATGAGGTTAGGGCACGTGATTGTTGGAAGTGCTAGGCCTGTTTACATCTCGTGATCTTTGACGAAAAATTGAGCTGGCCTTATTATTTAGCACCATCATGTATAGTTACTTTAGTAACGTATATGTATCGGCTCTGCTCTCTACTACGTTAATGCCGCGTAGAAGTGATTCCTTTAGGCGATCAAAGAAGAATCAGGGTGAAAAATAGACGGTAGGCCTTAGAACCGAGATGAGGGAAAAGCCTTATTTTCATATTAGTTGTATAGACAACGCGACAGTAACGTAGTAGAGAGCAGAGCCGATACAGATACGTTACTAAAGTAACTACATCATGTATTGACCACGTACCTCCTGCTCCAGCTAAATTACCACCAGTAAAAGACATATAATGATCCGAGGTAGGTATGGTGGTTCCAGCATTAGCAATGACATAGTCACGAAAATCATCCAAAGCATCGTTTTCATCTATCGACCCGCCGCTAAGGTTGTTAGTAATCCATGGACAATTTGTCGGGTCCTTAAATTGAAAGTGTATATCATTATTTTCTACATCTAGACATTGATTCTAAAAACTGTATTCTTGTATGATTATCCTGCATCTATAATGAATAGACATTACTCTTTAATTCTAAAAATACTAACATTTTAGGATTATCCTTATCCTACGTGTATGATAAATAGATATTACTCTCTAATTCTCTAAAAATATTAACATTTTAGGATTATCTTTATCCTACATGTATGATAAATAGACACTATTGTCTCATTCTAAGAAAAAATGAACATTTTAGGATTATGGTAAATAGGCACTACTCTCTTGTTCTAAAAATATTAACATTTTAGGATTATCCTTATCCTACATGTATGATAAATAGACACTACTCTCTCATTCTAAAAATATTAACACTTTAGGATTACACTAGATGTAAGATAAATAGACACGACTCTCTGTTATTCTAAAAACGTCTCTGTTCACACAAAATTGAACATAAGTATGAAACTATGAGAGAATATTGATCTTAATACAATGGAAATCGACTTACAGTAGCTATGAAAATTCCAGTTGATCGAATAGCCACAGTAAAGGTACTGTCCGTTTCACTTATAGTGGCATATTTCGTTTCCATCTTTAAAAAAAGGATATACATACGTTAAATATTATATAAAACATTTATACAGTGCCTCATCGTCCTCAGATGATCTTAGCACTTCACAATCTTAATATCCCATTGCCAGACATATGTTAAATCATAATAAAAATATGTCATTACTGATAAGCTTGGTTAAATAAATAGGTTTAAAAAGTTTCTAGGGACTTGCTTGATCTAATGGTTTCTGGTAGCGCAGATACAGAAAAGACTCTATTTCCACTACGTTTCAGTTTTGAGCGTTTTCTGCAAGAAGATTGAGCGATACCGCTTTTAAGGACTTAGAATTTTGTCCGATGGTTTGGATTGTTCGTACTTGATTTTATTTTATTTATATATCGTGATTAAAACGGGTGTTGGGCGTAAACTCAGTAATCAATGGTGGTCAATTGTCCGTAGTCTCAAGTTAGGTTAGATTCGCTTCATTTCATAGGCCCTGATTCAATATAATATTTAATGTACCTGTTTAATCAACGGGATAGATTACGGTGGAAATATTTATTAGAAACTTACACATTCTTCTATAAAGGCATAAAAGAGTTGAATATCGGCTATAGTGCTCGCGGAGTTATTGCCGTTGACGATATAGAAGCTGAAATTTTAAGAGGAAAGGGATATTACGAGAACAGTTGAATATCGGCTATAGTGCTCGCGGAGTTATTACCATTGAAGATATAGAAGCTGAAATGTTAAGAAGAAAGGGATAATATGATAACAGTTGAATATCGGCTATGGTGATGGTGGAGTCTTTACCGTTGAAGATGTAGAAGCTGAAATGTTAAGTTGAATATAGGCTGTTGCGCTAGCAGAGTTATTACCGTTGAAGATGTAGACGCTGAAATGTTAAGGGATAAAGGATGATATGATAACAACTGAATTCAGCTACAGTGATGGTGGAATTAGTTTTAAGATAAAGGAGTTGAAAAGTAATCATACTTCTCAGTATTAAAATCAGATGTGAGTCTCTCACCCCACTGTCGCAACGACTTGTATCTCAAAGGCGGCTGCTTAATCCGTATCAGTATGTGTTTTCGAAAGGTTCTTGAATGATGGAATAAGTGAATACTGGTCCCTAATTAATACTGAATTTATATTCTGTCGGTAAAGTGTTTGAAATTATCCAAGTTGGTGAAATTAGATTAAGAATCCAAGCTTGAGTCAAGAAGTTCTAACGATATCAAAATTCAGCATCCCTAATCTGCCGTCTCCCTGGATTTTCTACAGGTTTGTCAATAAGATTTTATTTGTCCCAATGTCGCTACAGACAAATTAAATCTAGGCGTGTCTGTAAGTTGCAACGTTTTTAAAATTATTAATCCAAACTGTTTGAGCCACTGGAGTCATGGCGCCATTGGATTATCTGAGCCCTATTTCCGACCCGGTTAATCTCTCTGCGAAGTATGAAACCGACCATAACATCACATACATGTAGGCTTACTCACTTGACATAGTCGAGATAATCTGAAGAGAACCATATTTCAATGATGTATTCAGTGACTTGACGTTTTTGGCGATGATTATGGTGAGAGCTGTTAGTCTGGCTGCTGAAGGAGTTGTCAGTCTGACTGTTGAAGGAGTTGTCAGTTTGGCTGTTGGAGGAGTTGTCAGTCGGGTTGTTGGAGGAGATCTTAGCAGATTGCTTGTCTGAAACGTACAGATTAAATTTATAAACAAACAAGGCGTTTCAACGTGTTTTGATATATCTGACCACACGACAATTTAGGATTTTCTTCTTTGATATCCACATTCATTTGGACACAGACTAATTATATTACCTACAGATGTATGATCTTCTATTTAAAGCGCTAGCCATGGTGACTCAGTAAGTAAGATGACGGCTCGTTAGCCAGGAGGTTGCGGGTTCGCTCCTGGTGTTGGCCGAGTAAGTTCATCGGGAATTTCCGGTCTTTCCACGTGTCAGTGGTACAGGATGGAGGGCATGGCAAGGACAGCTGTCTAGTCGTTCGGGTGGGACTAAAACCGAGGTCTCGTGTACACATTAATTCGACAATTCTGGCAAAATTCCCTCTTAGCACACTGTATAGTGTATGTCCGTCTTTATTAGCTCAGTCGGAGCAGAACAGTAGAACGTTAAACCCCATTTCTTTTCATATCTATGTAAAGCCCTTTCTGCCTGTGGCTTCGCCTCTTAGTCTATTGTAAGATCATTTTGTTGCTTGACTTAATTGTGGTGTAGAATCAAGGAAATGAGTTAGAATTTATATAGTTTGCACCATCGCCCACCAGCGCTGTCGGTAGCTCTGCATATTATTTACATACCACCTCATTTACAGTTGCTGTACCCACTGTCATGTGTTGCAAACTCTTAAAACGTGACTTTTAAACATCAATTCCATTATGCTTACATTTGGTAGGGTATCTAAAATATTATGAATATTCACCAACACCTGGTAGAAAATGTATATTCAAACCCTTTTCTCCGATTCTACACCAAAAAGTCAACACAAATCGCCATGCAAAACGGGTTAAATCTATACTAGAGATATTATACTTACAGTCCGAAGGGTGACGTACTTACAGTCCGAAGGGTATCCTACTTACAGTCCGAAGGGTATAATACTTACAGTCCGAAGGGTATCATACTTACAATCAGAAGGGTATCATACTTACAGTCAGAAGGGTATCATACTTTAAGTCAGAAGGGTATCATACTTACAGTCATAAGGGTACCATATTTAAAGTCAGAGCGGTATCATTCTTACAGTCAGAAGGGTACCATACTTAAAGCCAAAAGGGTATCATACTTAGAGTCAGAAGGGTGCCATACTTAAAGTTAGAAGGGTATCATACTTACAGTCAGAAGGGTATGATACTTAAGGTCAGAGCGGTATCATTCTTACATTCAGAAGGGTACCATACTTAAAGTCAGAAGGGTATCATACTTACAATCAGAAGGGTGTCATACTTACAGTCAGAAGGTATCATAATTACAGTCTGCAGGTTATCATACTTACAGTCAGAAGGGTATTTAAAATCATTGGTGAAATCTATACTAGATCTAAATTTATTGTAATATCTAGCACCACGCTTCATACGCGAATGATCCAGTAAATAATGTAGTCCACGTTCTTTATCCTCTTTACGGCTTGGTTTTAGTGTAAATTCTCTGTGACCTTTGTAGAATGTTCCGCCCTGTGATGGAATAGGAGCAATTAATTACAATCATTTGAAAACCTTTGCTCGCTCGGTACACAGATCCCCAGATACCCTTACTCGCTCTGTACACGCGAATCTGTCTGTCTCTCTCTCTCTCTCCCTCATGGATTATGAATTACTGTATACACGGTGCTAAAAATCCCACCATCCGCGCCTTCTGAACCATTAAGCCACTATTTTATGGGTAACCGGAATATTGTTCTTATACTTGGCGAATCAAGAAGTCCATGCTGACCGGCGTTTCTGCTGGATATGGTCTAGGTTTTATAGAATGTACACTGACCACGCCCCCCCCCCCCCCCTCCGTTCAAGTGCGCGGTAGATAATTAACTCCGAAAGGTGTTCCGGTTGGCCAATAGCCAGCAACTTCACAATTTTAAAAGTAGACGTTAAACCTCATTTCTCTCTGTCGCTGAGTGGAAATGGAAGATGATTAGGTGGAATAGCCGCAGTACTGTCAAAATTATCACATGTACCAGGGGTGTGCTATTTATGAAAACAATACTTACAAAAATATAGTCGTTGGGGTCAGTCTCATGTCTCTGTACCATAAACACCCCATCACCATTTTTACTGCGATACACGCCAGATTGCTAGAGGGACAAAAGACAAAATATCTGTTTAAAAATGCAAGACGAGGGACAAGACAGGAGGTCCCGGAATTTCCAGTTGTGGTTCTCCCTGGTCAGTGGTGCAGAGGGGTGGTGGGGGGGATATGTGGTCTGGAGTTTGCTCAGGAATTTCATTCGTGGTTCCACCTTGTCAGTGGTGCAGGATGGAGGATCAGACAAGGGACGTTGTCTAATCGTTCGGATGGGAATAAAAACAGCTGGAATTCGAAATGGTTGTGTCAAATAAACACCGGAAGTAATGATAATCAATATTGTAAATGCGGGAAAATAAGCCGACACATCAACAAACAGCGGACAAAAGACCCAAAATATCTTCAAACTAGATTTAAATGATTTAATTTTGAGCGATCCATAGTGCATCGCAAACAACAAATGAGGACACCGAGACAAGATGGTCGTCATACGATACTATGAATTCCCTGTTTTCTATTTCGACTTAACATTACATGGTATCAATTACGGGTTCGAAGGTATCCTTTTAAATTACCTCAAACAGCAACTCGTCATCTGACCACGGCTCTGCTTGAACAATTTTCTTATTATTGCCCATTTTGTAAATTGGAGTCTGCAGGTGGGGTCGACCTCGGGTCAAGTTAAAGTGGTAATTCTCTCCCTCGTATAGAAAGTTCAAGGTGAAAGTATGTGGCATGTCGGGAATGTCCCTCCTCCGTCTGTCGCTGGGATGTCGATGGTCATTATAGTTAACGAAGATCCGATCTGAAAAGTTTAAAAGTACGTTTTTAGTAAAAGTCCCATTACCGTACAAAACAATAAGTAACTTAGAAAACCAGATTTAACATTTAAAATTTCCATGAAGGTTTTTTCTGGAAACCTTCAAAGATATAGCTTACACAAAAGCTTAATAACATTGAATATCTTAAATCCGATTGAACCCAAGCCACGAGGCTATCTAGAGTTGATATTTGGATTTTGATTTCTAAATAAATGTTAAATATTCAATCCGAGAACATTAGTGTGGAAGAAAGATACATTATGAAAGATTTCCATAAAAGAGCTGACCATTCTCGCTATAATAGTTAAAAAAAATAGATAGTGGAAAGGAATATGTTGAAAATTTCAGTCAAATTACTTTGTTTTGAGTGGAGATATGGCCGTTTGAAGAAGAGTGTTACGATTATCCTTTATTTAATTAACTGACAATCATGCTTAAATCCGTTGAAATTAGAGAGCTGATTATGGGTTAAGCATGTGACTAAATGTCTAATTAATGATTTATATTATATATGAAGCCAACCAAAGATCTGCATTAGGCAGATTTCACTGTAACCCAGGTATCATTTAATCTTGTGTATTTAGCCTTTAATTTTTTCACAATCGTTTAATATCAAATCTTTGTTTAAAAATTCGTAAAAATCATTTAAAATCACCCAAATTATCTAATTTGTACCTTTGTCCAGTTTAATGCTGACTGATTAAAAAGTATTTAATTTCCTGGCCATATCGATTGGGTTGTTTAACTTTTAGCAGTGATCGAGAAATTAAACACTCATTATCAAAATTGAATAGTCAGCTTTAAACAACTGGACACAAGTAAAAATTAGTTGAATTTTGGTGATTTTAAATGACTTTTACAAATTTTCAAACAAAGATTTTATATTGAATGAATGTGGAAGAAATAGTGCTAGATATACAAGATTAAATGATGCCCCGTATACAGTGTTTAGTTCTTACATAAAAAATCTTTCAGAAGCGAGAGATTTGTTATATTAGAGAAAAATTCAAATGCTGAATCGTTACTTGAAGCACTGTAAAAATATTATTGTGAATTAAAGGTAAATAAATATGGAAACGGATATAGCAATATTTACAGTTCTAGACTATATATTACATTGGCATTCGAGAGAGAGAGAGAGAGAGAGGGAGAGAGAGGAGGGGTAACGTCCACTCGAAACAAACGAGGTCATTTCGGGACTAACAAATGGTTCAATTTAATTTCAATAATTCGCTTGCGCGTAGGGAACTTTAGCAGTGGGAGTAAGACCCGAAGAAAATCCAAGACCCTCCTCATTGTGACAAACAACCGAGGAATCGAAACCACATCAGTTCACTCCATGACTGTCCTTGTGATACAGCGCGCACGCGCTAACCATTCGGCAATCTAAGACCCCCCCCCCCCCCACACACACACACACACACCTAGAGTGCAACGAAAATTGTTTTTAATGCGTTCTTATCGATCTCAGTACACGACCTATACGTGTTTGACTTATTTATTTCCGTGGATAATGCTTATAAAAATAACTGATGTACCTACCACCAGGAACTTCTCCTGAATTAAAGACATGCATGAATCGTATAGCTGCCACATTTGATAACCAACAGGTTACGAACATCAATAATGATTTCATTTCAGATAATGCTTAATTTCCATCTAAATTTCAAATTGCTTGAATAAATAAACGGTTTGGTGTCGCCACCTTAATAGCCGTTCTACTGAAGATGCAGGCAGACCCAACAACTTAAGTACTGTTATTCTAAAGAAACAGACAGTTTCAGGAACACAACTAAATTACAGATGCAGTCAGATTCAGGAATAACAACTGTTATTCTAAAGATACAGGCAGATAAAGTAACACGGCTTAACTACTTCAATTCTAAAGATACAGACAAGAATCAGGAACACAGCTGAACTGTTGTTCTAAAGATCCAGAAAAACAGCTTAACTGCTATCCTAAAGTTTCGGGAACACAGTTTAACTGCTATTCTAAAGATGCAGGAACACAGCTTATTGATATTCTAACGATGCAGGAACACGGTCTAAGTACTGCTATTCTAAAAATTCAGGAACACAGCTTTACCGATATTCTA